ATGTGGCTCGCGAGCCGCAGTTTGCTGACCACGGCCCTAGACCATTATTATCCATAGCCTCATATTAAAAGGGCTTTGGGAAGGATGCCTTTCTTGGGGGCCTCACAGAGCCCTCCCAGTTCACTTCTATTAGGTGTGAGTTTAGGGACCTGGGGTAGCCTTAGGGGTTGAACAAGTATAGACTACTAGAGGCCTGGTGCACGAAATTGCACAGGTAGGGTCCCTAAGCCTGGCTGGTGATCAGGGCAGAACTGCGGGGCAACTGGCAGGGTGATTGGGGGAGGGGGCGCTTGCACCCACCTTGGCTGGCCTGGTGCTGCCTGCTCACCAACCCCATCCCCTGCTGCAGCTGCTAGTTGGGGTCTTGAGCATTTACCCCCTGGTGATCAATGTGCATCATAGTGACTGGTTGTTCTGCCCGTCATTTATTTGTTAATTTGCACTTAATAAACTTTTTACTTACAAAATTATAACTTTAGATTTTCAGGTACCAAATCTGTTTGGTTAGGTTGGCTCTAATGCAAATGGTCAATTTGCATGTTAGATTGTCAGACAAGCCTGATGTTTCTACGGCAATATGCTGTTGTGGGACAAATTTTCTTGGATTTCTAGTACACAGAGGCACTGATGGCCCTTCGTGTCAGACTATGTTTTTAAGGATGTTTGTGTAGCAACTAGCCTTGGAAGATATAGTGTTTCCCTCCAGAACAAAGGGCAGACATACTTGCAGTGCACTCTAAACTATTTGGATTCTCAAAGCTCAGGGTTCCTTTCCTGTAATGCACACATCTGATACATAATGGAGCCCATCCACATAGTATGAATTCACCCCTATTCTTTGGATCTTTGCTGAAAGTCTCAAGAAGTAACCAGGATACGTTAACATGAATTAAATCTATTTCCGCCCCTAATGACAATAACACAAGACACCGCGGTTTATATAATAAGAAACAAAAGGAGACAGTTTTCCATGGAGGACGTTTTGATATCAAATAGCAATATTCATGCTCTTTTTAACCCGCAGAATCTGTGTCCTCCCTGTCAAAGCCTTACTTCTTTCAGTAACCTAGTACTATATTTTAGGTTCTATGGCTTGAAACACTCCAAATCTATTCGGTTAGGTTGGCTCCAAGTAACAAAACAAAACTGACTGAATAGTGGCTTAGACTCCTTACAAAACTAGAAATCCACAGGTAAGCTCCCCAGGGCTTAAAAGGTGGCCCCATAATGAACCAGGATGGGGAAAGATGAAAGGATTAAGGCTCTCGCCAGTGAAGTATGTGTCCATTTAAATAACTTTTGAGAATGCGCCTTCCTCCCCACAGCAACTTTCTATTCATCTTAGGCAAAAATGTCACATCCCCAACCCAGCTGCAAGAGCCTTGAGAAGAATTCCCTAGAATTCTTCTGAACAAAATCAGGATTCTGCTAAGAAAGTGAAAAGAGAAAAATGTGTATTGGATAAATTGCCAGCAGTGTCTGCCACAGCAATCTTTAAATTTAAATATTACATAGGACAAATAAACTATATCTTTGAGCCATATTAGTTCTGCAGGTTCTCTGGGTACATGAACGTGAAGGTAAGGAGAATAGAGAGGGGAGGACTCCAATAGCCCAGATAAGAAATGATGAAAGTCTGAATAACAATGTAAGTTCAAAGAATGGAAGAGCTGTTTGGAGTTGGGGGAAATCAGCTTTATTACTGGTTTTAGATGATCACCCTATTCTTCGTGTTCCCTTCCAAGTGAAGAAAGCTCTACAAAGTGTCCACTTTGACACTTCTGTCACTCCATATCTTTATCTCCCTCTGCCCGATGGGAAGTTGAGGGATTTCTCTGATCAATATGCATGGGAAGAATAACTGTGTTCATTTCAGGTCCACCAGTCTCTCCTGGAGGCAAAGCTGCCTAACTTGTTTGAGCCTCTCTTGCTTCATCTCACCTAATAAAAGAGAAACATGCAAATTAACCATCACTTCGCTATGCCCACAGCCAATCAGTGTGAGCATGCAAATTAACCCAACAAAGATGGAGGTTAATTTGCATTTGCAGGCCTGAAGTCTGCTAGGAGGGGAAGGGGATGGCGGAGGGAATTACCGGAGTGGTGCTCCAAACAGAAACAAGGACTTGCGAGCTCCCAGGTGGTGGGGGAGTGGGGATGTGCCTGCTCCCAGGCGGCTGGGAGTGAAGCCAGGGGAAGGAAGGCCTATTCTTGCACCAATATTGTGCAATGGGCCTCTAGTCTTTAAGTAATAATAATAGGATTTGTGTTAGTGTGGTTCATATACAAACTCAAAATAATGTTTTATGCAAATATAAAAATTACTAACTCACGAAGTATTCTTGTATTTGTATTGATTGCAACTGATAAGCTTCTTGATTAATGCATTAAGTTTATCTCCTCTGGTATAGACATGTTTTTCTGAAGTCATTTTGAGAAGGCTAAAAAGGGCTAATTCCAATGTAACCTTGATATTTGGGGGATAGTGATCTAAATCTATGCCAGCAAGCTCAGTGTACATTCTTGATAACCTATAATTAAGTCACTACCTCCTTCCCAGATACTGGTCTTGCAGAACCGGTTACAGAGGCCACGGGGCTGTGGACAGTGCACTGTCCTAGAGGGAGGGTTATTTTTTTTTATTGATTTTTTTTACAGAGAGGAAGGGAGATAGAGAATTAATGCTGGCATCAGGCCAGACCATCAGCTATGGCCTGGAGACCACCAACACCAGGGGACCTTCTTGCAAGGCCTGCACAAAGGACCGGAAGCATAATCCATGTTTGCGGGACAAAGACCACAAGGAGATGTAAGGGAAAGCCCCATGCATGTTTCTTCACTCAGATTTGTTCCTTGAGTCCACCGATGTATTAAACAGTGTCCCTCCTCTTCTTTGAAGTGTCCTTGGTTTTCTTCTGCAACAATTTAAGAAACATAAATAATGAATATGTCTTCTTTGGATTCCACAGACTTATGAATATTTCAATAATCAGCTATATCATGCGAATTGAAGAGTTAATCTTATGAATTTTCTCTTACTACAAAGACTAATGGAAAGATTGATGTTTTCTAATGATCAAGTATTTGCAATTTAAGGCATTGTGTTAGTTCTACTGCTAAATCTATAGCTCTGATGTAATATATTTCAATAAGCCACCAATTAAGTGGTTTAAACACTATGAAGTCTCTAAATCACATGTTGCATCACTGTATAAAATTTAATATTAGCAATAAATCTCTGAGGTCCTAAGATGATAGTTACTTCACAGTTACATCACAGCAGCACTGAGAGATTAGCAGCACTAATATTTGCACCATTTTAAATACACACATTACAAAAATGTGTTAATTTGCACTTAATAAGCTTTTTACTTACAAAATTTTAACTTTAGATTTCCAAGTTTTCTCTCTATGTTAATCAGAATTAGGTTCAGCTGTATGTAAGAGAAACTCAGTATAATGGTGAATTAAACTAGATGGAGGTTTATTTTTCTATGTTAAACAAGCCTATTGGTAGACAGTCATAGCTAACATATCTTCCTGATGTCATCAGGGATATGGGCTCCTCTCATCTTTCCTCTCCATCATCATGGCTTCCACCTCTAAGGCCACATCTTAGTTTTAGTTTGGTTGCTGTAACTCCCACCACCAAGTTCATGTTTTAGGCAGAAAGGAGAAATGGGGTAAGGGCATAAGAGTCAGCTTCCAAGTTGAGTTGGCTCCTTTTATAGAGTTTTCCCAGGAGCTACTCCCCAAACTCCCACTTACATGTCATTGGCTATCCCTAGCCATAAAAAGGCTGATACATTTAATTGCATAGAAGGGTACATTGCCACACCCACACTATAGGGAGTGTTTTGCTACTAAGAGGATGGATTTTGAGCTGACAAGTATCAGTCTCTGCCACACTTAAAAAAAAACACACAAAAAAACAAAAACAAAAAACTCTGACCCATATCTTTCTAGAATGTTGTAACCATTCATCTATTTTTCATTCAAAATTAAAAACTTGACCCTACTGAAAAGAAATAAGAAATGGTGGACCTTGAAAATGACTTCAGGTTTTCTCACTGCGCAGAATATAGTCAAACACTGCTACAGTTTAATATTTTACCCTTTGTTCTCCCTGTGTGATCTACAATAATCTGCTTCCTGTTGATATTTACTGCTGTGTTGCTGACAATTACCTGAAAGAGAAGTTGGAGTACCCTCACTGGGCTGGAAAAAGTTTAGCTAAATCAGAAAGCAAGTTTAATTAAGCAAGTTTATTCTATATCTGTAAAAGGCTAAGTTGACTCACACGTACGTGATACATGAAAAGCTCTCGCTGGCTCCAATTGTGTGCGTGTGTTTGTAATGTTTGTGGCCTATATATACCCAACTGGACCTTGGCTGCATGTGAGCGCGTCTTATAAAAGCTACTGTTAACCTCAGTGCAGAGAGCACTGCCTGCCAGGCTGTTCCTAAATGAAGGCTGAAAAATGAGTTAAATTATAACTCGCAAAAAAATAATGGCCGGGCTCAGCAGCAAATGCACACGTCAAAGGCTCTTTCAGGACTGCCAAGAAGGGTTAGACTTGGTGGCTGCAAAGGAAGGCAGGGCCATGGGCTGCGGGAAGCAACATAAGCGTTTGCGGCGTCTGGGGATGCGGAAAGAGACTGGCAGAGGGGGCTAGTCTTGTTCCGATCACGAGAAATATTCATTCGTCCAACAGCCCTAGGGCTCCACAGGCAAGAGGGCACACTGAGGAGCAAGCAGGGCTGTGACAGGTCAGCCCTTTAAATTACTACCTAGGGAGGCGGCCCAGAGGGCACGGCCGCCCCGCCTCCAGCCACCGCGGCGGGACCGGCCCCGAGGCTCCACCCCCCCCGCGACCCCGCCCCTCGGGACCCGCGCGAGGTGACCCGGAAGCGGTTGGAAGCGTCAGGGAGCGCGTCTGCCTCCTTTTCCGGTTGGCGTGGTTTGCGAGCGCAGCGGTCGCCGCACCCGGGCCTTCACCATGAGCGTCCCGGCCTTCATCGACATCAGCGAGGAGGACCAGGTGTGCTCCCGGCCGCGGGGCCGCCGGGGCGGGCTGTGGGGGGCTTCGGGGTATGAAGAGCCGAACGGGGACTGGGTGGGAGGGACGCCGCCCCACGGAGCCGGCTCCCGGGCTGAGCCCCGCAGCTCACGCTCCGCACGTGGGAGCGGAGAGGCCGCGGGGCCGGGCGCGCGGAGGCCGGGGCGCGCGTTCGTGTCCCCGAGTCGCACCCGCCCGCCGGCCGGCGGCCCCGGCGCGGGCCCCTCGCTCCCCGCCGACTTCCTGGTCGGTGTCTGTGCCTTCTCAGCCCGGAGTCACTGCTGACGACACACCCTGTACTTTTTGAGTCCTTGGGGGGAGAAAGGTATGGGCTTCAGTCCCCCCAGTGCGGTCACATCCGGAGCGGGAGGTGGCAGGCTTTTCGGCGGTGTAAGCCGCCTAAGGAAACATAATTATTTTGTTGAAGATGAAAACGGTGTTAATGGGGTCACAAAGGCACAGGCGACGACTTATTTTATATATATAGACCACAGTTTATATTCTTAACATGCAAGGATGAGAGGTCTCTTAACCTGAAAAGAAAATGTCAATCCCACCTTCATATTTTGAGGCATCACGTCTGGTGAGCCGTCCTAAGGTTTTTACATGTTCTGTTTGGGGTTTGCACTTTCCCCCATCACAGAAGTTAAGCTGTAGTTGGTGGGAGTGAAGCTAAACGTGAAGTGATCTCTAAGGTGATTTTGCAGAAACTATTCTGTGAAGTCGTGTTGTCATTTTTCTGCTATTGCACTGACATGGAAACTTTGATTTCCATAGAAGACATCATTACTATTCTAACATACTTGTAGAATTGTAGATGGGGGTACACACACACACAAACACTGTTACTGATTGTATTTTAGTTTTAGCCATGGCAGGTGTTTCTAAGTGAATAGAGTGTGGTCCCGTGAATCGATCCGAAGGGTGGGTGGGTGGGTGGTTGGCGTTAATTCCCGTTGAGGGCCTGTACCTGGTTTTTCCTGGCCTGGTCAGGGCACTGCAGGAGACAACCAATGGATGTGCCTCTCTCTCACATCGATGTTACTTTCTCTCATCCCTCCCTCCCAAAATCAATGGAAAAAAATATTCCCAGGTGACGTTTATATGTATATATCAGGTTGAAAGCGTCATTTCTACTCAAATTATGCTACTGTTCTTGTAATATATTAATTTCACTCTAGCCATTACTCTCAGGTAAGGGGGTGATTTTGTTTTCAAGATGTTAACTTTGATCAAATTCTCTGTTTAATTAAGATTTTGTAATGGAGCTCAGAATCCTTGTTTCTTTTCCTTGGTTTGTACCACTCCACAAACTACTTGTAACCAGTGAGGGTGGTAGTTTAAAAACAAAACTATAAACTGTTGGTTGAATAGTTGTTAGAAAAATTCGCTTTGTGTTTGCAAAGTAGAAACTGAACCAAGTGCCTTTGTTTTGACGATGTTATGTTTTCTTCATACCGAAGTGTACTTTCCAGGGTATTTTTTGTACTCTCTCACAGGGTGAGGTTTTATGAAGTCTTATTTTACTACTAATTCATATGTGAAGTGACTATGTTTTTTTATCTGAAAAGATAGTATCATCAGATCTACAGATTTAATATACTTAAGTAGCCAAAACATCTTTGTGGGTTTAGAAAATAAGATACATTTACTAATGGTACTCTTTACCTCTCTTTTTCAGTTCCTCATATTATTATCTTAAATACCATCTGCATTCATTTTGGCTGCCATACATACTGAACTCTAAAAAGAACTACTTATTAAATATTCTGTGTACGGATTAGAATAGAAAATGTCTAAATACTGAATGCAATCCTGCCATTGTACTTTTATAGGTGTAAAGGTGCATTCTGATCCAGATAATGCATTTTGCACTTCAAAAGGTTAATTTTATAGTAGATTCAATTTGATATAGGTATTTTATTCAAGGAAGCATTCGAAGGCATCACTTTTTTGTTGTTTGTTAATCCTCACCTGAGGGCATGCTTACTGATTGGAGAGAGAGAAAGCAACAAAGGGTTGCCCTCCCATAAGGGCCCCAATTGGGCTCGAACTGCAGCCCAGATATGTGCCCTGGGATTGAACCAGCTACCTTTCCGTGTATATGACAAAGCTCCAAACAACTGAACACCAGCCAGGGCCAAAGGCATCATGTTTTTATCTTTGGCTCCCCAAATGCTCATCTCAGATAGGTTCTCAGACATTTAACTTTACTCTTGTATCAAAGTAAGGTTTGTAAGTTTTCAAAGTAGTGGTTTTATGCACACCTCAGAGCAGTAACATTTTATTTCTTTAAAACAAATTGAATTTACCAAGTCAGATCTCAAATGCCAAAAAACAAAACAAATGGCTTTGGGTTATATTAGATTTTTGCTATATACTATAATTCCAGCAGGATATGGGTGATCTGAGAGAAATTCTGAAGTTGAGATATGTGGGCCTGTGTACCCATTGGGAGTTTTAGAGGACAACTTTTGGGGGTTCTGATGATGGATGAGGTAAAGTCATTGTTAAATGCAGTATTTATATTCGTATTTTTAGAAATAGGATAATGGTTTGAGATCTTGTCATTCATAGTCACTTCTATATATATAGCAACCCTGTTTGATTCCACAGGCTGCTGAGCTTCGAGCTTATTTGAAATCTAAAGGAGCTGAAATTTCAGAAGAGAACTCAGAAGGTGGACTTCATGTAGATTTAGCTCAGATTATTGAAGCTTGTGATGTATGTTTGAAGGAAGATGATAAAGGTTTGTTTTTATTTTTTTTGTGATATTTCTAATAACCTATTTTTAAAATTTTCTTGTGGATTACATTTTTGTTTCAGACCTTAGAACTTTGAAGCACTGTTTCTAGTATTTGTACATACTTTCAGGTTTTTCTAATCTGTTAATACCTATGAAGTAAACCCATTTTGAGAAAACATCTTTTTTACATCAGGAATGTTTTTGGGTGTTACTGCACATACTGAATACTGATAATTTCAGAATGAATTGAAGAAAAAAAATGAAGCACTTCTTTTCTGTAAGGTTTAGATTAATAGCAAATAGTATATAACAACAAGTAGTCTAAAAGCTACTTAATTATTTGATTGATGTCCTATTTATTTATTTTTAATTTTTTATTGATTTCAGAGAGGGAGAAGGAGAAAGAAACATCAATGATGCCAGAGAATCATTGATCGGCTGCCTCCTGTATTGTATGCCCCACATTGGGGATTGAGCCCACAACCTGAGCATGTGCTCTGACCGGAAATTGAACTTCAACCTTCATAGGTTGACCCTCAACCACTGAGCCACGCTAGCTCAGCCTATTTATTGACATGAAATGGGACATTTTGAGAATTGGGAGTCCTGAAATCTTTAGTTAAGGTTTCAGGCTAAACTTGGTAAATGACTAATAGCTTACACTTGAAAATTAGTGACCCAGCCAGAAAATACATAGCTTTCATTTATAAATAACTTTTCTATTTTTATGTTTTCTTTAATTGGGAGAGTATCCTAGCCTAAGACCTAATCAATAACTTCTACATGATTGACTATCTTGCCACTGTATAAGTAGACATGTAAATCAATCTTCTGTTTTATTGATTGGAAACTAAATTTTAGGTAATAATTTATTTCTTTAATAAAATATACAAGTGTCTTATATTTAATGGTCTTTGAACACTGGAAATTCAGATACATTAAGTATCATAGTATCACAGTTGTATTATCCATGCATATCATGTGTAGATGTTGAAAGTGTGATGAACAGCGTGGTATCCCTCCTGTTGATCTTGGAGCCAGAAAAGCAAGAAGCTCTAATCGAAAACCTCTGTGAAAAGCTGGTCAAATTTCGGGAAGGTGAACGTCCATCTCTGAGACTGCAGTTGTAAGTGAAGAACTGAAAAAGACTTTTTTTCCAGGGGCTCTTTTCATGTCATTGTCATTTGATGGTTTAAAGCAAGAATTCTGAAACTTTGATGGTCATCTCTGGCTTTTATAAGTTGTGTGACCTTGGATAAGTCACTTAACCTTTCTGTGCCTCAGGTCCCTCCTTGTAATGTCTCACATTTGTTGTGAGAGCAGATACTCTCAACTTAATCACTGTAGTTACTGATCTCAAACTCTTTATTATTATTTGTTTGTTAACCAGGCTAAGCAACCTTTTCCATGGGATGGATAAGAATACTCCTGTAAGATATACAGTATATTGTAGCCTCATTAAAGTGGCAGCATCTTGTGGGGCCATCCAATATATTCCAACTGAGCTGGATCAGGTGAGTTATTATGTGGAATACTTATTTTGCTTATAAGTATAGTTTTATTATGTCAAAGTAGCAAATACGTGTTTTCTAAACGTTACATTTTAAATTGTGAAAACATTCAGCTGTATCACTAAATCTCCCTTTATCAATCTCCTCATAGGTTAGAAAATGGATTTCTGACTGGAATCTTACCACTGAGAAAAAACACACCCTCCTACGGCTACTTTATGAGGCACTTGTGGATTGTAAGAAAAGGTATCAGAATTAATGTCTTAAAACTTACAGGCAAAATGAGTAGTTGAGGGCTGATTTTTAAAGTTAAGTGAATTTGCTCTCCTTCGTTCTCTAGAGTTGCTATAAATGTTTTTTTTTTTTTTTTTTTTTTTTTTTAATTTTACCTGTTAAAGATAACTGCAAATTTTAAAATACCTATTGAGTTTCTGCAAGATCTTGGATTCCTAAGGGTTGTATCCAGTCTACCTAGCAAACTCCATTCCCAAAATATTTATTCTTTTATATATTCTGTACGTAGTCAGCATTCAGTTTAGTGTTTTTAAATATTTTTATTGATTTTTAGAGAGAAAGGAAGGGAGAGGAATAGATAGAAACATCGGTAAGAGACAATGATCTGATTGGCTGCTTCCTGCATGCCCCTACTGGGGATCAAGCCCACAATACAGGCTTTTGCCCTAACCCAGAATTGAACCCACCCAGCTCTTTTGACAGTTTTAATATAATGTGTCTTTAAAAAGGTCTTTTTGAAATAAGGTAATTCTCTTAGCTTTTTTAATTTGAGGGTCCAGCTCTTTCTATAGGCTCAGGAAGTGCTCATCAATTATTTGAATAGGCTCACTGTTCACTTCTCCCTCTCTTCTGGTGTACCCATTATTCTTACGTTGCTATTTCTAATGTCAGTTCTTGTGGAGTTCTTTCATTTTTTTAAACTCTCAGTTCTCACTCTTCTGCTTGAATCATTTCTAGATGACTATCTTCAAGCTCACTAATTCTATCTAGTCTTCTTCATTTCCAGTGTTCTCCAGTGCATTCTTCATCTCATTTATTGAGGTTTTTAATTTCAGAAAAAAAATTTTAGTTTCATTCTTTTGGGCAAAGTGTTCCTTTTTCCTATTGAATTATTCCTGATTTCTTTAAAACTTCCTGAGTTTTCTTGCATCTTCTTGAGGTTTTGTTTTTGTGTGTGTGTGTGTGTGTGTGTGTGTGTGTGTGTGTGTGTATTTTCCTAACTGTGATCTTGAATTCTCTTTGTCATTTAAATCATAGTCTTCCATGTTGTGGGAGTTTGTTTTCTGGAGACTTCATTTTCATTCTGAGCTATCTTGTTTCTGTGGTTATTCATGGTACTTGATGGATTGTTTCTCTGCCTGGGCATTTGAGGTAGTGAACTCTTCTAAGTATTATTTTGCTCCAGTGGATTGATAAGTAGATATTTTCCAGTAGATAGTGCAGTTTTTGTTTTCACTTACCTCTCGGATCTTGGTGAGATGGTGTTGCCTTAGTTGTGGAAAATGCGCCTTTATGTCCAGGTCCCCTCAGTCTTAGTGCACCACCCTTGTGGGTCTTCAAGCCTGCGACTTCCCAGTGCAGCCTCCTTGTAACCTGAAGGTACCAGCTGCTTTGTGCTGTCGGTGGCATCCCTGCTGTTTCTATAGGTTCTGCTGGTGAGGTGTGGCCGGCGGTGGTGGTGTGATTCTGTGGGTTGGCCTTCTTGCTACTAATGGTGGCCACCATTTTGCAGCTGCCACACTGCTGTACCCCGTCTCTGCCCCCATCACCGGGTTTAGCCACAATGAGCACTGGATATTCAGGCAGAACATTGCTTTTGTCCCTCCTACCCTCTGGGCTCTCCTGTGGGGGCTGTAGCCCAGCTCCTTCACTACCACAAGAGCTGGGGCTGGGCAGGTGCCAGACTGTCTGCTACCCGTGTCTGTCCCCTGTTCCACCACCCCTGCTGCTTCTGATATGCCTACCATCAAATGTCTCAATGCATGTACGGTATCTCTCAGACAGGTTTGTGTGTTGAGCAAAGGATTCTTTGTTGAATTATGGTTGCCTGACTTGTAACTTTAAGGTGAGAAATAAGGCGTCATGATGCTGACTCTTATTGATCACTGTTTATTTCTTTCATAGCACATGCTTGCTTATTGTCTGCCTTACCTAATAGAAAGTGCCATGACTTCCCATAGAGCAGGACCTTGGTCGCATTATATGGATCATTGACACAGTACTTGGCATAGTAAATATTTTTTAATGAATGAATAGCAGTGAGATATTCTGAAATTCTTAATATTTCTTTTTAGTGATGCCGCTTCAAAAGTCATGGTAGAATTGCTAGGAAGTTACACGGAAGACAATGCTTCCCAGGCTCGAGTTGATGCCCACAGGTAATGTTAAAAACACATTGTTCCAATGATGATTATCAGCAGCTTAGAGATGAGTTAGTTTTTAGTCATGAAATCATGTTTGCTCCTGCCAATGATCCAAAGCCATTAGATACTGTGTGCTCCGTGGTGATTCTAATAGAGTTACTAAAGTTGAAAATTTGATATTGGGAGAACCACAAATTGTATGTGAACTAGCAGCAAGCATACTGTTTGCTGTTTGGGAAATTGTTGGTATGGGTTGAAAAATCTCAGCCTGAAAAATAGAATCTAATCTTAGATCAATTTTAACTTACGAAGGTATGTAGATGAGGAAAAGTTGATGGCTTGCTAAAAATTAATTTAGCCTATTCCCAATTAATAATTGCTTCAAATAGTTGTAAGTCTGCTTAGTAGCAATAAGAACAAAATCAGTTTTTCAAATTTATGAAACAAATTATGACAACTCACAGGGTTATTGCTTCACACAGGACCTGTATACATGATAGGTGTTGGTTGAAAGGGTAGTTAGTGGAAAATATCTTGGAGGTTAGACTGCCGCTCCTTACTGGTCAAGCTCCTTCTGAGCCTGTTTTGTCATTCATAAGATGGAAATGTTAAGAGTATATGTCTCGGGATATTATGAGGATTCATTAAATTAATCCTTACCTTAGTGTCTGGCATGTAGTAGGATGCTGCGGCTATTTTATTTATTCTTTGATTACTTTGTGGTACTTTTTGTCTCCCAACTATTTATTATTTTGTTAAACAGATATACTTGATGTATAGACTTACTGGCCTGTTTTAACCCCAATTTTATAGCTTTTCTTATGTTCTGTATATTGAATTATTGGATAGTTTACTGAATTAAATGTATTGCATACTGCAAACTCAGCAAGACATACCTGAATTTTAAGACTGAACTTGGATTTTTGTTTTCTAATTAAGGTGTATTGTCCGAGCATTGAAAGATCCAAATGCATTTCTTTTTGACCATCTTCTTACTTTAAAACCAGTCAAATTTTTGGAAGGCGAGCTTATTCATGATGTAAGTAGTTTATCCTTAATGTGAAAAATATTATCTTTTCCTAATTTTAATATACTAAAGCAGAACTCTTTATATAAAAGAACTCTCTTGTTTTAGTGAACATGTCTATAGAGGTGGAAAGAGAATTAGTTATTTTTGTAGCAGGAACAGACTGAAATTTAGGATTAGCTTTTCTCCAACTACTGAAAATATTTCTGTTCTTTTTCATTTTGCCTGGCCATTATGAAACTAAATAATAGATTTTTTTTTTTTTTTTTTTTTTTTTTTTTACTATTTAGTGTCAGCTAGCCCAGTTAAAGTAAATCCTATATTTTAAAACATTAATATCCTTTTCAAGTACAAGTATAAATATGTCTTGGGTTATTTTCTATTTGTACTATGCCATTACCACCATCTTTAGAACGCACTGTATTTACTGATTTATCTAAGTGAGTCTTACAAATGGTTTATATGGTAATTTGATCAAACTTATTGAAATGCCTGCACTGAAAAAAATATATTACTGGGAGTCAGTGTCTATAAAGTATTTTGAACTATAACTATTCTATATTTAATATTGTTTTTTTTGTTTTTTTTTTTGTCTTGGTCTGTATAGCTTTTAACCATTTTTGTGAATGCTAAATTGGCATCATATGTCAAATTTTATCAGAATAATAAAGACTTCATAGATTCACTTGGTAAGTTTTGGGGTATATTCTTTGGAGGGGTACTGAGAAATGGGAATGTGCTATTCTAAAACTGTTCTGTACTGTGAGATCCAGCAAATGTGATCTTGGCCTAACCAGTGAGTGATATATGATGGATAACAACAAATAAAGATAGGCAGTTTAAAATATTACTTAGAATGAATTGGGAATCAGAAACCAAAAGCATTTGTGATAGAAAGAGCTTGAAACTTTGTAAAGGACCTTACTCCTTATTCATATGCATGGTGATTTATATTTTTGTTGCTTTTTTTTTTTAAGCTGGATTAATGTAATTGCAACAAATAGATTTTTCTCTCTGTGATACACTTTTATATTTGTGCAAACCCCTAGCCCAAATTAACAAATTATAGAACTATATGGTATTGCTAAGCATATTTAAGTAAAGCTGTAGATGGGATTAGAAAGTGGTTTGTGATTTTACATGATAGGAGAAACTTTCCTCACTACAGTTTGTTGAAGACAGCAAAGTAAGTATTAGCTTTATGATTTTGCCTTTGTTTCTTTCTAGGGCATCAGAGCTCAGTAAATGTTCAGCAACATGAAATGAGTTACTGTCCTCATTGAGCAAGCTCCATGTAGATTCAGTATTTTCCTTCTAAAGCATGTCTTTAACATACTAAAATTACAAAAAGAAAAATGAGAAAATCTATAGTTTAACAAGCTTAAGTTATTCTAAGAGAGTGAAATCAACTATAAAACAAAGGTGTTTTGTTTTCCTACTAGGTAATAATCAAAATACATTATATATTTTTCATACTAAAATTGAATTGTTAGTCTTCCTGGTTGTTTGAGACATAGGTAAAGAATGCATTTATAATCTAGTTTGATTATACTGTTAATTCTCAGTATAGTAATTCATTCCTGTCACCTGTAAACTTTGGCATTGGACAAGACTGAATTATTCTGAACATAATAAGGCATTTGAAATACACTGAGATAAAATAGATGCGAGTGTGCTTATGTAGAATGCTTTGCAGGTGCACTAGACCCAGAAAACCACATTCGGTCCCAGTTAATTTGTTTTGTGGTACGAAGCTATGTGATGGAATGTTAATGTCAGCAACCTCTTTATTTACTCACCAAGGAAAAAGGAGTAGTAATTAACACTTTGACACTCCCCCATTGATGTGTAATTGACTGTTTCAAAGGAGCACTGGTTCATAAGCTATTGCATGCATTAAAATTACGTTTTTTATATTGCAGCATTTTAAGGCAGGGGTCAGTGACAATGTAGAAATTGCTCAGTGATGCACATTTTTTTATTACTGCATTAAGGTTTTGACATATTAGTAATGAATAAATGTTTCCATAAAATTAGATTTTTTTAATAACTTTAAAATAGAAATATGACACAGAACACTATGACTTTTTCTTTGAAGGTGATGTTCTACTTTTCATGAAATAAAGCACAGCTTCCTACAAGTCTTTAACTCATACTTCACTGGCTTAATAGCTTGATTTTGAGAGCAAAAATCCTAGGTTTGGTGATTTCCTTTGATGTAGTGACTTTAAATATCAACTTGAAATGTTTTTTAACATAGGTTCCCCCTTGTATGACATACAATGAATAGTTTTACAAAATTTATTTTAGAAATAATTTTCATTTCTTTGATATTTTTTTTGGTTTATGGTAAGCTTGTAATTATAGCAGTAAATTTTTATTTTAATGAGTATTTTAAATTATACCTTAGAAACTTGTGGAGTTTTTATCATTTTAACATAATAAAAGGGATTATGTATGCCCACAGAACTGGGAATGCTAAGAAATTTTCTTGAGAAAAATCTTTAGTATTTGTTCTCCTTAACAGGAAAAACATAGTAAGTATTCCTGGAAACCAAATTCTGTTTTGCCTTTTGTTTCTTTAACATCCATGTAAATTAGCAGTCTTTTATTAGAAATTTGTAATAGATGCTTTGTGGAAAACATCTTGAATGTAAATTTTTAGTAAGATATATTAGACATTTTTTACAGTTTAAAGTTTGGTTACAAATGTCTAGATTCTACAGATGGTAACAATTTATCAAAACACTCAGTTTATCAATCTCTGAGCTACACTGGCTGGGCATACAGTTTTGACTTTTAAATATTAAATCCAAAGTGACGAGACGGGATTTATTAACTGACAATTTGGGCCACCAGTAGAATTATCTTGTGTCATCTGAATTGCCCTAACATGTTCACATGTAGTCTGGTGTTACCCAGTTGCTACCTTCTTGCTTCAGAAAGTTAATCAGCATCTAATTTTCATTTGTTAATTAGGATTAATGTGCACTAATTGATTTTTTGATGCTTGTAGATTTCCATTAAACTGGTTAGCAATACTTACTTGGGTACCTCATTCATCTGAATTATGATGATCATGTTTTTGTTGAATCTGTGCCAAATAGAAAGCCTGCATCATAATTATAGTTAATTAACAGACATGTGCTATATTAATGGGCTTTCCTAGTCATCTGCTAATAATGTTATATATTTCATATTTATTTGTGGAGTGCTTAAAGGGAACTTTTTAAACAGTACAAACTTTGAGGCTCTTAATTACAAAAGGTTATGATCTTGGTGAGACTACCAAATTGGAAAGCTCAGAGTAAAGCGAACATGTAATTCTATATTAATTTTAAAAACTTGTTTTTATAATTGAGAAGCATCTAATCAAGTGTATATATTATAATTCAGTTTCCATGTAGAAACGAGTAAATATATTTCTAGTTAATTTGTTTTATAAATGAACCTATTTTCGAGACCACTTTGTGACTAAGTAAAACATTTCACTTCTTTATTCATTTTATTTTTTAAAGTGAAAGGAGCAGGATCAGATAATTTTAAGTTTCCTTTTAAAAGGGTCTAACAATCTCCTGCATACCCCCTACTAGGCATCAAGCCTACAACCCAGGCTTATGCTCTGAGCAGGAATCTGTGACCTCCTGGTTTATATGGGTTGATGCTCAACCTCTGAGCTATACTCGCTGGGCATACAGTTTTAACTTTCAAATATTAAATCCAAGTGACCAGATGGGAAATGGAATGTTTTCTTGACTGAATGTGTATGAAAATGTTTTAAAACTTCATGTTTCCTAATGAAATACAGAACAAGTTATAAGTAGCTAAGGAATCTTCCACTTAAAAACAGGACTTATTAGTAAAAATAAGCATGAGTAATTCATTTATATAAAAATTTTCCCTAAGAAATTAATTTTGTACATTTTATCTTCTAAAGTAAGTATAAAATAAGATGTAAAAAAAAACTTTAGGGAAAAGTTTTAAACATTTTATAGCCCAGTCTTAATAACTTTGTAATCTATTACCTATAGTGCTATAGTAATAAATAAATGTAGTTTTAGAAAAATAATTTTAAATACTCCATAATTTAATTATGGGGTCAGTTTATGATTTGAAAACATGAGCTTTGTCAAAATTAATATAAAGTGCCCACAGTGACTTCTACAGTTTGACACAAGAGTTGTAATTGATCTTTTATTAGCATTGATACCATTCAACTTCACTATTTTGTTCTTATTAGGACTACTACATGAACAAAATATGGCAAAAATGAGACTACTTACTTTTATGGGAATGGCAGTGGAAAATAAAGAAATTTCTTTTGATACAATGCAACAGGAACTTCAGATTGGAGCCGATGATGTTGAAGCATTTGTTATTGATGGTAAGGCAATTAAAACTTTTTTTTTCTATTTGTCTTTTACCTATGCAGTATGAGATTTTTTTATCTTGAAGCTGAGCCATATGCTAACAAAGCTAGATTCTTTTGTAACAAATGTGATGTTTAGTAGATTAGCAGATTATAATTGTTGTAGAGTGAAAATTCAATGGAAATATAAATTGCTATGTGGTTTTTGCAGTTTGTTCTATTTCTTAAAATCATGTAACAAAAGCCTTAAGGTGGTATACCATAATGTGGTTAAGAGCTTAGATTTTTTTATATCAGACCTGGGTTTGAGACCAGGTCTTCCTTCCTCTATGGAATAGGAATATAGGGGTAATTTGTAGTTGAGAGGATTAAATGAATTAATGCAAGTAAAGCACTTAGCCCAGTGCCTGGCATGTATTAAATGCCCTGCAGATGTTAACCATTATCAGTTTTTTATGATTGGCCTAGAAACAGGACCTTCTTCCTCAACATGGGTATTATAAAGTCACTTCACAGGATTTTTTTTTTTCCCCTGAGTCTTTTAAATTTCTAAGTTTGAGGACTTGTACAATTAATAAAATAAACAATTATTCACATGACTTCTAATGTTCTAATTCTTAAACATATAAAGACATCTAATTAGGAAATCTTCCCCTCCAACTTCCTAAGGTGTGATTGTAGAGGAGAACATCTAGAATTCTTAATGAAAACTGGGGGAGGGGAGGCATGGGAGACATGGGGGAGGCAGCTGATCAGTGTTGTGCTCTCATATCGATATTTCTCTCTAAAATCAAAACATATATGTATTAAAAAGAACACTATATGATATTTGGTATGGATTAGCCCAGCAACCATAGGATAAATAAATGCATGACTTCCTTCTTAGTTGCATCATATTGCTGTGTTTATTAGATTCATAGAGCCAGCTTGTAAAATTATATTAGAAAACTGTCAAATTTTATTATGTCTTGCTTGGTCATAGTTTCATACCTTAAACTTTTTCTTATGCATTTTCCATATAACATGTCATGTAAAATGTCTTTTTTTCAGCCGTGAAAACAAAAATGGTCTACTGCAAAATTGATCAGACCCAGCGAAAAGTAATTGTCAGGTAAGTACTTGCAACATTTTGTAGAAAACAAAATTTTGTTTGTTCTGATTATTTCACTTAAATGTTTAGAGAACTAAGGTGATGTTCTTATCAATTGACTGTAGTTAAATAGTTGCTATTTATCATAATTTTATTAAAGTTCAAACTGAATTGATTAGCTTATTTAATGAAAGTCCTATTTTCCAGCACATTTCATTTAATGGCTCAGCATTGGCTAGAATACTAATGACTTCTGTGTCTGTTTTATGTAGTTTAGGAAAATAGAAGGTTCAGGATCAATATGATAAAGATTTTTTTTAATAAGCTGCTAATTCTCTTAAAATTTGAAATTGTCTTTTATGTATATTTAACCTTGCTTTTGACTAGATACAAGTAAGTAGTATTGTAAAAGAATACAGGATAAAAGGTTGACTAATGACTTTTAATTTTTCAGTCATAGCACACATCGGACATTTGGAAAACAACAATGGCAGCAACTGTATGACACACTTAATGCCTGGAAACAAAACTTGAACAAAGTGAAAAACAGCCTTTTGAGTCTTTCCGATACCTGAATTTTTATGCTATAAATACTTTTCTTTTGGGGAAACATCTAAATGATAGTAAAACATTTTAAGCTGAAATCTGACAACAGTCTGAATGTTTATTGTCTCAAATTCAAAAGAAATTACAATCTTCAGAGGATACAATGTAATAAATTATGAAGGGTCTCACTGTGTGTATCTTGTGTAATATGTAAGTTGTGTTCTGTAAGGAAGGGTCTTAAAGGTGCAACAGGAGCTTTTATGCAGGAAAGACCAATTTAAGGGGAATTAAATGCTAACAGCAAACTCTGCAATCTCAGCTATCTTAACTGAAGCATTTTATGGGCAAAAACATAAGCAGTAATACAACTTCATTACATCTAAAAAAATTGAAAAAGTACATCTGTAAAGCTTTAGATGTAACAGTCATATTTTGCTATAATGGAAACCACATCAGTACTCTTAATTCACCACTGAAAGTACTAATCTGTTTTTGTCAACATCTCTTCTGCTTTTCTTTTTTTAGATTGGTTGTCATTTTCTAAGCTTAGGAACTTTTCACTTTCTTTTATTTGATTTGTTACCAGGTTCTGCCAGCCACCTTCACCAAAAGAAGACACAGTTAAATCAGCAGTATCTTTAATCTTGAGAGCCTGAAAATGGCTTTGTAGATTTGATTTCAGAGACTCTGTTTTCACCTAGGAAAGACCAAACTTGTTTTACTACTTAAGTTATTACTCATTTTCTAAAAACTCATCAACAAATAAGTTTAAAGACTATCCTTAAACTTTTGCAATTATGAGCATGTGATAAAGCTACCATTTTCTTGGCTTTTTTCCAGCTATTACCTTTTGGCACCAAGAATTATAAAATGTGAATTTATGTGGGCTTATGTACTAGCTTTTCAAGATCTGTTAATATAGTCCAGGAATATCAAAAACATTTTCTAAAAGGTCTTGAGCTTACATTGAAAGAAAAGATACTTAAAACAGGCAGATAAAAATCTGTTTTGTCTTCTACTCCTTTCCTTTCCCAAACATGTCTATGTTTTGTATCTTCTATCAAAACAAGGGTAAATTTAAAAACAGAAGTAAACTGCCATTTAAAAACTGCCTTTTTCTTCATGTTTCCTCTCATGTTTCAGAACACCATTTTTGGAGACACAAAAAAGAACAACGCAGTTTTTGTGAGTTGGTATGTTTTCCAAAGCACTACATTGGGTCATACTTACAATATTGTGCTAAAAATGTTATTCATTTCTATTTTTTCCCCTGATAATAAAATACTGGAAATTTGGAAAATGGATAAAAGTATAAAGTAACTAAAAATCAGTAGTAAACCACTAATCAGAGACTTAACAATATTTTGATACTATTTGCTCTAGACTTTTTCTTTCTATTTTTAGTATAATAGATCAATAATTTTCTAGAATTTTATATCTTTGCTTTTTCCGTTGAGCTGCTTTCCTAGGTCTGTGGTCGGCAAACTGCAAAACACCCCGGCCTGGGTGAGTTTATTTTGAAGAAGTGGCGTTAGAAGAAGTTTAACTTTAAAAAATTTGTCTTTCAAAAGGAATTTCAATCATCGTACTGTTAATATTTGGCTCTGTTGACTAATGAGTTTGCCGACCACTATCTTAGGTCATTAAAATTTCTCACTAAACTGTTGTCAGGGGCTGCAAAATATTCCCTTAATGCATGAGTTATAATTTATCTCTTAATTGAGTATTTGTTTTAACTTACCCCTATCAAATAAATTTGAGTTAATTTCTTTACAAAACAAACCTTTGATGGTCTTCTTGGGTTACCAGATAAAACTGTTAAAGGGAATGTTATAATAACTTAGAAATAGGGTAAGAACTACATTAAAATTATCCAAGATTTCAACCACCATTAAACAGTACACTAAAATTTTGAATCACACATTTTCTATGCTGTATTAAAAACATCATTTTTACCATTTCCTTTTATTAAAGTCTTTTAGGAACATGGCTCCATTTTATTCCATGTTCCATACTCTAGTCAATAGAGACAGATATCAGCAGTACAATGATTGAAATTTCTTTTGAGAGCCAAATTTTTTAAACTTAAACTATATAGTTAGGTACATTGTTTTTAACTTAATTAGGGTACTCCTAAGCTGGCCTTTGCTAAAAACTCAAGGGACCATCGAGGTGCAGTTTGCTGACCACTGGTCTAGGCAAAAGAATAGGTGTGCTTTTAAATGTGTCTCAAATTAGATCTTTACAGGTAGTGTCTTGGTGCTTTGGAATTATTTCACATTTGTGTCACTGCTTCCTCATTTGTAAAATGGATGTGCCTTACAGGACTGTTGTGGGAATATTTTTTTGAAAAAGTTTTAATTCTATAAATTCTTAAAAACATTAATTGCAAGAAAAGCATTAGGATTAGACAAAGAATAGAACTACTGGGTTAATTAGAAAAATGGGCTTGAAAGGGAGACATTATACCTTTGAAAAGAGGACAATTATAATAAGCTAGGGGCCCAGTGCATGAAATTCGTGCACTGGGGGAGAGGTCCCTCAGGCCAGCCTGCCCCCTCTCACATACTGAGAGCCCTCAGGGAAAGTCCTACAGAAGTCCTGCCCCCTCTCACATACTGAGAGCCCTCAGGGGAAGTCCTACAGATGGCTTAGGTCCGCTCCCATTAGGACCTAAGCCACAGTCTGGCCTCCTTTTGCAGCAGGCTACCAAGCTGATGAGAGGAAGGCGCCAGCCCCATCACCACTGCCAGTCACCATAGCAGCCAAGGTATTTTCATCAACACAGATTCTAGTCCCTTCACCATGAAAAAATGACAGCTTTCTTTAGACATTTTCAAGATGTGTTTTTCATAGGATATGACATTTTTCTTTTTATTCTCACCTGAGGATATGTTTCCATTGATCCCCCCCCCCCCTTCCCTCTGTAGGTTCAGCCCCTTCCTAAGCCATCTTTGTTGGGTTAATTTGCATACTCACTCTGATTGGCTGTGGGCGTAGTGGAGGTACAGTCAATTATTGGGTAAGATGTTAAGTATTCAACCTAATTAGAAATTGGTATCTAGCTTTTACTTTTTGCTTTAATTTCACCGACTTACCTGTCATTTCCCAATGACAGATTGATCATATTTTAAAGATACACACTTTATACATCAAGCTGAAATTATTTCTGCTATCAGAATGGTGAAAAGATGAATCCTGATTTTAGTTTTAACCCTCCCAGAATAAAACCTCAGTGGGGGTCTCTCATACTTAAAAAGGGAAAGGAAATTTATTATGAAAACCTGTTATATGTTAAGGCATTAATACTGTAATTTTCACCTTCGATGTTTTGAAGAGAAAGTTTTTTATTGTGCATCTGTAAAACTTAAAACAATATAGTAGCTTTAAAAGCTCACTATGCAATTATTTAAATAAGTAACCTTTCCTAACATTTATAGGTTATCTTTTAGCAGTTATACCTATAATTGTTTTTTTAGACTTTGAACAACATAGCCTTTTTTGTACTAAAGTTTTGTACACCAAGATAAGCAACTTATAAATTTTACCAAAAAAACTGTCTGTTGTAATTAGTTGCTTTTCATATGACAAATAGACTCCTGGAGCCATATAATCTCTACAAATCTTTTGTTGAATATTTACATTCATACTTGATATATATTGATGGACATTTGATCTTTTCATATTCTGTGTTCTAACTGAAATAATTTAAAATAAACTTCTTCCTTCACAGCAGTTTCCCAAATGTAAGTAACAGTAAGCCCTAGCTGAATTTATTCACTGATTATTTAAGGCATGTTTAATTAGAATAAAATTTTAAATGCTCAAACTGTAAACAGTTTTATTTTAAGTTTAAATAAATGTGCCAGTGCCACTATTTCTAAGTTTAGGTGACTAAAATATAGAAGTACCATAATACACTACCTCACATTTTCCTTCCTCAAGCAGGCTGGATTATATCTATTTGATTTATACACTGTGACTTTTTCCTGCTGTTTTCCATCAACCTTAATTGTGAAAAATGGTGCCATGCTGCCCTCTTGATATTATTTTGGGATCAGTTAGGTCTTAAAGCATCCAGATGCATACAGTTCTACACATATCTATAGAATTAGCTCACTAAGGTCTGCTTGGCAATATTTTTAATTGACTTACATGTTCCGTGGGAAAAGAAGAATCATAAAAAGCCTTTGCAGTTGCATTCCTCTCTTCACTGGGCTCTCCCTTGGGATCTGGATGGATAGTGGAGTTATTCAAAGTGTCAGCAATTCTCTTAATGCTGGTAGTATCTGCTTGACAAAAAGGAAATGGCAACAACTGAATTTTATTCTCCAGGCACTCATTAGTGGCTGAACTTGTTTTACTCTGATTCTGTGTTTTTGTATTTAAAAAGTAACAATTTCTATTTTCATTTTTACTTTGATCTTTTATAGCTTTCATAGACTTTGCTCTTACATTAAACATTTCATTTCAGAAAACTAAGTTTTATTATTGCTACTTTCTAAAACCTGATTTCACATTAAAACGAGTGAAATGGTATAAACATCTTATAAAACAAAATGTTATCCTTATTCCCCAGTTACTACATTGTCTGTACATGTAAACATTTATATAGTGAACATCTTACCAATTCAGATTAAAAGAAATTGGCCATAAGTAAGATACCCAGCAAAGGGATGTCCAGTATTTAATAAACAGATAAAAGTAATGTAGAGAAACATGCCTATTTCGAAGTTTAAAAAATATTTAAACTTTTATGAGTTTGAGGACTTTACAAGTTGAATTTTTATAGAATTTCAGACATCTCCCCTTCCATTCTTACTATTTATATCACTGAAATTTAATTTAGAAGAAAAAGACTGTGATAAAATAGTCAACATTAGTCCTGATCCTTGACTAACAGCACTTGATTAACCATAGCACTTGACTGATAAGATTAATGGAATCTGAAGTTAATACATTTTATTAGGGGAAAAAAAATTGTGAGATGAGGTTTTTCAGTGCTTTGGTGTTTTCTATTTTTTTTTTTTTTTTTTTCCTGCATCTCCATTCATGCTAGTAAGCAAGAAGTATTTTGCTTTTAGTTCCCAGTTTTTCTCTCAAGTTTTCTCTTTCCTTTTAAAAGAAGCCTGTTAAAGTCAGGGCCATGCAAAGCTGTCCTTGTTACCTACATTTCTTTTAATGTGTCTAACTGCATATTCCTAAATAGGCAAAGTCCCTTAAAATCTAAATATTTAACAATGTAAACAACTTTAAGAGACTGCAAATGGCAAAGTAAACATTTCCCTCATGATCATACTTCTTAAACTATTTCTCATTATCTCCAAGTTATGTTTATACAGCATCTACACGTTAATATGAAAAATTCAAGTACTCCCAATTACAGAGTATGAATCTCAAGTACCCATTATCCAGCTTTAATATCCATCAATATTACTTCATATGACTTTTATCCATTTACCTTTCCCCCTATTTTTCTATTGTGTATTTTTAAAGCAAAATTTGGACATTGTTATTTCATGTGGTAATTTTAATACAATAGTCTGAAATATTTAGCATTTTAGTGAATTAGTAATATAGGTACATAATATTAAGGGGTTCAATTTAAGGTGTTTCAATGACAAATAGCAATGATATGAAATGTAATCATACTATACCTTGAGATTGTCAAACAAAAGTTGGATTTGTAGTGCTGGTGAAGGGACAGATAAAATAGAAAAATAAAAAGGGAGAAAAATGGGGGGAAAAAGTGATAAAAGGTGGTTCTGAGGGAGAGAGGTAGTGATTTTTCTGGTGTGTGTGTGTGTGTGTGTGTGAGTGTGTGTGATAAACATGGATTGGAAGAAGCCTTATCAACTTCTCAGCATTTGCTCTCGAAAGTAAAGACCTCAGATGAAGTAGCAGTTCCTAATTTAAAATTAGTCGTCTAGACCTGTGGTTTTTATTATTTTCAGTTCCTTGATTCTTTTTTTTTAATTTCCAAAATGCAATTGTGTCTCAATATATGTTGACAAAACTGGTTCAGATTTAGATGAAAAATCCACTTGCATCTAAATAAAGCCTTTTTACTATATAGGAGTATTTTAGGCTTAGGAAAAAAATAAATTATGTTTCATTTTGAACATAATCTGGAGAATTTTTACCAATAATACTAAACAGAAATAACAAATTTTAAAAGTAAACATAAAGCTTGTTTTCTTACCTGGCCCAATATCCTTCCTGACATCATCCACACACACATTTTTACAAAGTGTCATAGAAACAATCTTTTCGTTTTCTGAGGGGCCTACTGGTCTCTTGTTCAGCAACAAGGGAATGCCAGAAGTTGAAGTGCTCACTGTTTGACTTTCATTTTGATTTACTTTTAACCAAGAACTGGGGTCTAAAAAATTCACATATACTGGAGTTTTCTCAGCTTTTTTATCCAAACTTGAAAGATCAAAGGCTGACTTTCCACTTCTGTTTACTAAATCTCCAGATGGCTTGATGTGAAATGAACATGATTCTTCCAGCTGTCCTTCACTGTAAATTTTTCCTAAAATGATGTCATTTAACGACTCTGTTTTTTCAGTATTATTTAACAATGTATGCTGTCTTTCATTAACATCCACAAACAGGGACAGGCCAGTTTTTGAAGCTTCAGTTAACTGATTCTCATCAATGTGACTCTCTTTATTGGAAAACTGCATTTCTGTGGAAGTTTTCATGTGAATAGCAGTTTTCATATCTTTGGCTTGTGAAATATGTATATTCTCATTGTTAACTTGAAGATGAGAAGTGTTCATACTGTTTTCGAAATCTCCCAAACAGTTCATAAATGGACTTCGTCTGTCATTCAGATTTTTACATACAGCTCTTTTCCCAGGGCTTGAGTTTGGTTTCACCAATATAGGCATCATATTAGCATTTGTATCCGAATTCTTAAGAAATGCTTTCAAATTATCACTGAAAACTGCAGATGAAATGGGGTGTTCAGGTGCAACGTCATAGGGAATAGTTAGTCCAGGTTTCTCTGAAGTGTCCTTACAGATTTGCTGAACATCTGAAGTTTGTTTAGATGGCGGTGTGCTGCACTCACTTTTTTTATTTACCAGTTGTATTTGTTCTATTTTATATGGTTTATCATCTAATATAACATTATTTGAGTCATGTAAATTGTATTTTTGACACTGAACAGGATTCTTTTTTACATCCAGAGATGAATCCAAATCTGTTTTGGTTTGGTCACTGTTTGTAATTTTCTTCTTTGTGGCATTTTCTTGCGTCTCTGGAAGCAATCTAAACTTTTGTTCAAAAACATCTTTTTTATGATTTGTACTGTGAGCCATCTCATTTAAGACACTGTTAAATGATATTCTGTTACTTTCAACCTCCAGATGTAAATCTGCACGGTGAACATCGAATCCTTCAGTTTTTTCTAAGTGTGTGCTCTCTGTTTCTATTGATATACCTGCCTCTAAAAAATAATCATTTAGTGATTTAAATTCTGTAGATTCATTGTCTCTTTCCAAGCCCACCTTGTCTTTTATTTCTGTAGTAGCTGCTTTTCTAAAGTCGGTAACATTCAAGGTTTGTCCTTGACTGATTAATTCTTTTTCTATGCAGAGGGTTTTGCTTATAGAGATTTCACTTTGCTTCTCGTCTTGAGGTATACTAGGATCAATTTCATCCTTGGGGATTTTTTCAATATGCTGTATATCTGTCATGATGAGAACACAATAAATTTTTATACACTACAACAAAAGTACTTTTGGTTTAAAACAGGAGATGTTGAGAGTATTATAAAAATGATTTTTATTCCAGGCCCGGAGCAGCGGCTGCCAGGCTGGGAGCGGCCAGGCCCGGGGGAGCAGGCGGGGCTGGTGCGGCCAGGCCCGGAGCAGCGGCTGCCAGGCTGGGAGCGGCCAGGCCCGGGGGAGCAGGCGGGGCTGGTGCGGCCAGGCCCGGAGCAGCGGCTGCCAGGCTGGGAGCGGCCAGGCCCGGGGGAGCAGGCGGGGCTGGTGCGGCCAGGCCCGGAGCAGCGGCTGCCAGGCTGGGAGCGGCCAGGCCCGGGGGAGCAGGCGGGGCTGGTGCGGCCAGGCCCGGAGCAGCGGCTGCCAGGCTGGGAGCGGCCAGGCCCGGGGGAGCAGGCGGGGCTGGTGCAGCCAGGCCCGGAGCAGCGGCTGCCAGGCTGGGAGCGGCCAGGCCCGGGGGAGCAGGCGGGGCTGGTGCGGCCAGGCCCGGAGCAGCGGCTGCCAGGCTGGGAGCGGCCAGGCCCGGAGCAGCAGCAGCCAAGTCCAGCGCAACTAGGTCGGGAGCGGCAGTGACCAGACCCGGGGCAGCTGGTTGTGGAATGAACCAGAGCAACAGAGGCCAAGCCCTGAGCAGCCAGGCCCAGAACAGCTCGCTCCTTGCCTGCCCCTGCCCCACGGCTGCTTCTCAGACATGGCTGGAAACTTTCGTGGGAACTTGAGGGTCTGCTGAATCAAGTGATGAAGGCTTAGATCTGGATGTGTTGAGTTAGTTTAGGACTGGGGTGTTGATCTGTGAGTGCCTTGGGTGGGGCCTGGATGAGGCTGGTTGACCTAGTGGGAAATGTCTTTTGTGTGAAGTGTATCATTGGGCATGTGGAGGTATTATTGATATGAGAAAATGCTAAGTAACTGATTTACTATCTGAAAAGGGATTTACTATTGGGGAAATTGAGGGAAGAAGAGACTGAACATAAACTGCACCTATGGATGAGGACAATGGGGGATGGGGGGGGGACGGAGGGTGGGGTGGGAACCTGGTGGAGGGGGGAAGAAATGAGGAACCTTTGTAATAATATGAACAATAAAGATTGATTTAAAAAAAAAAAAATGATTTTTATTTATCTAATCAAATCCATATAAACACATAGCTGATTAGATAAAATCAATTTATTCTAACACTTTATACTCTTTCTATTGCTATTTAGATCTAGAAATTGCTAGCTGGCTTCTTCAATACCAGCATCACTTTTTTAATTTACTACCTTGTAAATATATTTTGATTTTGGAATACTTTTGGCCAAGTATATAAAATGTCTACTTAAGACATTAATTTTTATTCAGTTGGGGTCTAACCATAGATTTCAAAAATTAGGTATAGTAATCACAGTAATCTAGAATATAAAGTTGAGGGCTTGTAGGGCTTTTTTAGTTTGACCATTCTCTCTACAACATCTCCACCAAGTGGTTGTTCAGCCTAGTTTTGAACACTTTCAAAGAATTAGTCAAGGACAAACCTTGCATGTTACTGTCTTTAAAGCTGGATGAATTAGTAAATTATTTGAACAGTTTTAGAAAGGTCATTTGATGTAACGTGCTCTAGGGCAGATCATCAGAAGGTTACTGGAAGCCCTTAGGTTATTCTCAGCAAAACAGTGAAGGCATAAACCAGAATGCAAAAAGCAAGTGATGAAAAGGCAGAAATGTACTTTTTCCCCAAAAATATTGATTGTAAAGAATAGCACAAAGGGCCCTGTTTTGTTAAGATATATATATATATATATAAATAATGTATTTCTCCAACTACGTTACAAGGTCCTCAAAGCAAAAGCTATAATTGAATCCTCCTAGAAAGCTTAATATACAAATTAGAAAATATCAATATTATCTTAGGTTACCTTCTATAGTGATTTCTTCTGTAAGTGGTCCTTCTTTATCCCCCTCCTTTTCTCTAAATTCAGTTTCTAAACAAAAACTCATTGTATTTTCTTCCCTTATTTCTTGCCTAGAATTATATTTCTGTATGATGTTTTGTAATTTTCCCATTGATATTTCACTGTTTTCAGTATTTACTTCTGGAAGATTCTAGTGTAAAAAGGAAAAGGTTTCTTTAATGTAAAAACAGATTAAAAGTTATAAAACAATGGGGGGCTGGGAGATGAGTAGAGAGGGGAAAATGGACATCTGAATACTTTCAACAAAATAAAATTTAAAAAGAAAGTATAAAACATTTAAATTGTGCTGATAAAAGTGGAATTACAACTAAAATACAAAAAATTCTGAAGACTAGCTGGAGAGAACCCTTATAGGCGGTGATGCAGGCTCCCACTGACAACAGACAAGAAGAAATAAAAGGCATCAAAATTGGAAAGGGGGAAATAAAACTCATTCACAGACAACATTATATTTTACATAGAAGATCCTAAAGGCTCCACCAAAAAAACCCTATATTTAATAAATGAATTCATTAATGTGGCAGGATTCAAAATCACTCAAAAAATGTGGCTTTTTTTTTTTTTTAATTCAGCAGTAATGAACTCTCAGAAAGAAACAAAACAATCTCTTTACCCTTTGCCATAAATAAAATTAAGAAACTTAGGAATAAACTTAACCAATGAAGTAAAAGACTTATACTTGAAAAAGTAAAGGACATTGAAAAAAGAGATAGAGGAAGATATAAAAAGTGGAAGAATATACTATGTTCATGAATTTGTAGAATTATAATCATTAAAATGTCCCTACTACCTAATGCCATCTACAGATTCAATGCAAACCCTATTAACATATTTCACATATCTTGAACAAATACTTCAAGAGTTTATATGGAACCAAAAAGACCCTGAATAGTTGCAGCAATCTTCAGAAAAAAAACAAAGTTGGAGGAATCACAATACCAGACATCAAGTTATACTACAAAGCCACTGTAATCAGAACAGCTTGGAGGTAGCACAAGAACAGGCATATAACTCAATGGAACAGAACAGAGATCCCAGAAATCATCACAAGCCATTATGCTCAATTAATACTTGACAAAGATGGCAAAAGTATATAATAAAGCCTGTCTCTTCAATAAAAATGGTATTGGGAAAATTAGGCAGATACATGCAAAAAAGTGAAACTAGACCACCAACTTACTTGTATACTACTATATACAAGAATAAGCACAAAATAGATAAATCATGAAATCATAAAAATCCTGGAAGAAACCATAGGTAGCAAAATCTTAAGACATCTCTCATAGCAGTATGTTCACCAAAACATCCAGGGCAAAGGAACTAAGGAAAAAATAAACAGATGGGACTACATCAAAATAATAAGCTGCACAGCAAAAGAAACCAGCATTAAATTGAAAAGGGAACCCACTATATGTGAGAAACTGAAAAATAGTTACTTATATAACAATTTATATTAAAATCATCTTCAGTGAGTTTTATCAAGTTGGTATTTAGATATAAAGTATATTAGTAAAAATATATTAGTGTAGTATTAGAGTAACAGAGTAATTAGCATAATAGTTTAAAATACAATCTTATTTTCCCAAAATACAGATTTCATAAACTCATAAATAGTAACTTTCTATTATGTTATTCTTGTAAAAAATTGAAAGGCAATGAAATAGATATTAAAATAGAAAAATCAATTTTGGGGTTCCCCAATTTTTAAAGTGAATCTTTATATTACACTTTACATCATTTACACTTTTATTATCTACTTCACTAAAATTAACATTTAGTAGCAAACGTGATTTAAGAAAATAGCCATTAAGTCTTAAGATAAAACTAGTAGCCCAGTGCATGAAATTCGTACACATTAAAAGGAATTAGAGGAAATATTTTGGGTGAGCTGCAGGACCTAGAGTCAAGTACCCGCCTACCACCTGCCTGAGACTCCAAAATGCAGGAGACCCAGACCAGCTGGCCCTACCCCCAATAGATAAGACCCAGACCCTGCCAGCCCCACCCCATCAAGCCACCTGGGCAGGGGTGCAGCCTCAGGTCCTCTGGCCCGGTGCTGAGATGGGGGTGTGGCCTAAGGTTCCCTGTCAAGCCCCACCAGGTGCCGGGTGTGACCTGAGGGCCCCCAGCCTGGCGCTGGGGGGAGGAAGAGGTGCGGCCTGAGGTCCAAGGTCAAGCCCCATGGGGTGGGGGGCATGGTCTGAGGTACACTATCAAGCACCATGGGGCAGGAGACATGGCCTGAGATCCCTCACCCCTGCCAGGCGTCATGCAGCCTCAGGTCCCCAGCTGTTCAGTCGTGCTGTTACTGTGTCCCAGCTAATTTGTATATTCCTCTTATTATATAGATAGATGTTAACACTATAGAGCTCAACTACTATATACATGTTCTAAACATGGCTTTAATATTATACATCTCAACAAAACTGCTGAGGAAAGCTAAATAGATCAGTCAATAATAATACCTATATAATTATTTTAATAATTTACTATAATACTATTAATGGTTTTATGAAAAGGTAAATTAATTTTTGTGTTATATATGGGAAGTCATTCAAATTACACACATACACACGTTTGGTTTTTCATGCATAAAAACAATACAGGAAATTTTATCAAATTTATCTTTTTAAAAAGCATTCTCTTCTTAGAAATATAAATATAAAAAGAAAATGTGTCTGACTATTCCTACATTATTTTTGCAATATTTCCTTAGCATTTAACAGTTAATTTAATTGTCTGTAACTATTCAAAATATTTAAGTATTTAATAAACCTACATGCTTTTCCCCAGTTCTTTGTGCTTTCTCATGCTCATTTTGAAGATTAAGGAACTTTTCTTCATTTTCTTTTAACTTCTCCCTTTGCAGCTCATTATCTCTTTCAAGAGTCTGCAATAAAATTAATTATCCAAAAAATAATCAATACCACATTAATGAATTTTGATGTGTTTTATGTTGCTTGGACCTTTGCTTCTAACATGCTGCAAGTGCCATACAGATCAGTGATAATGTGCTATCTCAACAATAATTTTCATAAATTAACAGAAAGGTGCTTATAGTTTAGTTAACAGGAAAGAGGGGGAGGTTATGAAAAAGAAATGACTATAAAAGGATATAAAAACATTGCCATTATTCAGTTTCACCACATAAGTTTTAATGTACTGAAAAAGTAATATAAACTACAGCATTGAAGAATATGAAATGTAGCATAATCCAGCACAAACACTACTAAAAATTTTTAACTACCACAGAACATTTTCCCATATGTGTTTATTTTAGAAGTAACTGGCTAGAGAGGCCTTAAATACAATTTAAATTTTTAATTTCAATTTAACTCATTTTAAGTAGAGTTTTAATATTTACTCCATTAACCTATTACTTTATAAAGTTACATAATATAAACACCATCACACTACCCTCTCTCCCCCCAGAAAAACCTTTAAAAACTAAAACCACTAATAAGTGTTTTCTAAGACACGGGTTTTAAAGCTATCAGTGTCAGTGTCACCATATTATTAGGTTTCTCTAATGTCTACTTATAAACCAAATGAACCTCCATAAAAAGACAAAGTAGTAAGAACTTTACATGTCTACTATATCTGGAATTTTTAAGTTCATTTGTTGATCATTATTAAAACTATGTACATTCAGAGTAATTCTTTTCCAGCCACACAAAGAAAAGGTAAGGTTTTCCAATTCTCCTCCTCAGAGGTAACCACTCAGGCAGTTTCTTATGTTCTCTTCCAGAAACTGTCTATAACCATAAAGAATAAAGAACTATACATACTGTGTTATTCTGCATCTGTTTTGAAAACAATTAATATGTCTTGTTTACTTTCCATATCATATTTAGACTATCTCACTTTAAAGGCTTCATAGTGTTTCATCTATATAGAGTTCTCAATTATATCTAAAATGTCAATCTGCAGGCAAAATTCTGGAAACATAATTTTACAATTTTAACATGAAGATTCTCCTCTAGCTCATAAAGAACTAAATATTTAACAAGATATGTGCCAGATATTCTTTATGCTTTTATGCTATGGTAGTGAAAATTTACTGTTCTATTGGAAGTTATACTCTATCAAGAGATTATTTGGTACCAGAGGCCCAGTGCATGAAAATTTGTGCACTTGGGGGCAGGAGGGGGGGTCCTCAGCCCGACCTGTGCCCTCTTGCAGTTCGGGAGCCCTTAGGGGATATCCAATTGACAGCTTAGGGCAGGTCTAAGCCACAGTCTGACCTCCCTCTGATGGAGGCATTTGGGTGGGTGATCAGGGGACATCTCTGGCCCATGAGTGGCTGGCCCTGCCCTTCGCTGCTGCAGCCCCTCCCTTCCTCCACGATTGCCATCCTCTCCCTGGGCCCACTGGCACTTGTCTTGGCTGGCCTACAGCTTCCTGTTCACTGGCCCCACCCCTGCCAACTGGTTGTTCAGCCGTTCCGTCGATTTGGATATTACATTTTCATTATATAGGATTGTTTGCATCTAGATTAACAATCTAAAATGCTAGCTGAAAAAAATGGATATTGTAGAAAGTAAAAATAAAACCATCTATTAATATTTTAACATACCAAAAACTGAGTAAATTATCTTGGTTAATACTATGACTATGGCAGCAAACTAAGTAAATTATTTTTATTAACCCTATACCTATATCAGTATAACTATACTTATATCTGACTAAACTATAGTTAAATCATAGTATAAAATATTCTTCATCATGAGAAATTGTTTCTCTATGCTCCAAACTGCACAATAAAAATAGACAGCAGCATGACTGCAGAGCACTGAAACACAGTAGGCCATTACGAAGAGTAATGAGCCCTTTTAGTTCAGGTGGAATTAGAATGCTCGAGAAAACACTTGAGATATCTATGCAGCATAATCTTCAGCAACAGTTCTACATTTGTATTTTCTTATGCTATGTAGCAGTGGTTCTCCAGCACCAGTCTGCAAAGCACTGATTGCAAACAGCACGGCAAAACTTCACTAGATCATGGCAAAAAAATGTCAATTGGAGGGCATCATGTGTCTTTTCTTGTAACAGACCATCCTTTTACCTGAGATTATATTCTTACTATAGTTTTAGTGTTAAATATGTTCTCTTTCATAAAATGAAAAAGATGATAGATGGTATTGGTTATTTTTTTAATATCCTTACTTATCCAAATAAAAAGCTGACAATTCTGTCCTGTTTTTGCCAATACTTTGAAATTTTATTATATGAAACCTAGTTTATCCATATATTATCAAGGCACAGGTAATAATGGTGCTAGTTAAAGAAAGGCATTTGGAGGACCCAAGGTTTTAGTAGTATTGTTAAAAGATCCTGGAACCAAAGTTACAGTCTTCATGAACTCAAAGAAACACATGACTACATATATCTGTAACTATTCGAGGCTCTGTAGAATTCAATGATACATAAACATTGGATTTAGAAAGCATGGGAAGCAATTTAAAAGTTGTGGTTTTTGCTGAAACCGGTTTGGCTCAATGGATAGAGGGTTGGCCTGCGGACTGAAGGGTCCCAGGTTTGATTCTGGTCAAGGGCATGTATCTTGGTTGCGGGCACATCCCCATTAGGGGGTGTGCAAGAGGCAGCTGATCAATGATTCTCTCTCATCGATGTTTCTGACTCTGTCCCTCTCTCTTCCTCTCTGTGAAAAATCAATAAAATATATTTTAAGAAAAAAAAAAGAGAAAAATAAAAGTTGTGGTTTTCATATAACAGATCTAACAAAAGTGGCAGCTCTCACAGGTCTAGGAAAAATACTAACAATGTAACGTAGAAATGTGTTGAATAGAATCAGGACAAATATTTAATCCTGGGTTTGCCACTAATGATGAGACTTTGAACTACATGCTTATACTTTCTGGATCTCTAGTCTGATAACTGCTACTCATAAAGAATGTGAATAAACTACATCACGTATTTCTTGGGAGGAGGTTCACCATATCAGAGAAATGGCTCCAAATTATTCATCTGTAGGGTAGGTGGAGAAGGTATTGGGGATTCTTGCTTATACCTGGACTTTCAGAGAAATGTTTTCTACTTGTCTTTTATTGGAGTAGGTGAAGAGGAGGGACAGGTTTGATTCAAGCACACCTCTTCCTTCCTATTTTAATTCTAACTCCTATAGAGGCAAGAAAAATAAAGAAGGCAAAACTTTCTTTGCACGACTAGTCAAAAATCATCAGTGATGAGGAGATAAACCTTGCACTGCTCAAGTTAGGTTTGGTTCCATTCAATGGTGATGGGCTCAGCATAATTTGTGAGGCCCAGTACAAAATGGGGGGGGGGGGGGGGAGACACAGGGAAAATGTGCTATTACAGATTTACAAAAGTTTTTTTTCTTTCTTCATGGTCCATACCTCCTCCCTTCCTCTCTTACCCCATCAACCTATCATGGGGGTTTTTATTTTCGATTTAATGCCATGGTCCCCCGGGCAGAAGGATACTCACAGGGCAAATGCAGATGCTCACAGATGCCTAAAGGCCTTGCCACATTACTCAAAGTATAAGCCACCAGTTACTAAGTTCTACCTCCTGCAAGTGGTATATCCTGTCTGTGGGTGATGGAAGTCAATCTCCTTTGTCTAACCCATAGCAGAGAGGTAACCCTCAAGGGATTGCAACTGCTAGGTAGAGAAGCGCCTCAGTACCTAAACTGGGGACTCACTTCCTGCCAACTCACCTATCTAACATGCCGAATGCCAAGATATTACCACCCAGGACACAGAATGCTGCAGGGCACATGCACTCCACTCAGACCCTCTCTCCTGCATCTGGCTTCCAGCAGGGGTATAGGGCAAGAGTAGAATACAGACCTCTCACCACCCATGTGAGCTAGTTGCAATAGCAGTCTCGAGACAGAAGCAGGGAGGATGAGGCCAGGCAAAGCCCAGGGCTCAGAAGGGTACAGAAGACCCAGCAGCCAAACAGTGGTCCTGGGAGGCAGTGGGAAACAGGAGAACACCTGAGCTGAGGCTCCAATGCCATTATCAGACTTAATTTACAAAACATAAATTCAAAGATAAAAATTCATAAAGATTTCAAGACAGTAACCACAGGACACTAAACCTGAAGCACAAGGCCCTTCTGAGACTGGGTCCCTATGCAACTGCATTGGTTACATACCCATGAGGCTGGCACAGGCCTCTGCTGATGGTGGTCTTTACACAGGAGGTGATTGTAGTTTTCTTAGGAAATGTTCAGCATCACCCTGGATTCCTTTAGAAGGGCATAAATCCTTCTACTGGCCACCCCAGTGGAACAGGTCCTCAGCTCTTCCTAAGCTGTAATCCCATCACTTGGCCCAGTAGCAAACAGGGCAGTTCCTACCCTTCCACTAGCCTCCATGGTCCTTCCTGTAGAGCCAAGGCACCATCAAAGTTCTCTCTTCTGCATCCCTCCAGGCACGTTCAGTATTGGAACAAGCATAATGCACTTCAAGCCCCATTGGCACCATTCAGTCTAAAGACTTTCCTCTTTGAAATTTCTAGACCATAACTGAGCGTTAATCTGCAAATTCTTGGTACACTTCGAAACCTCAAGAAACATGTCAAGTCCTTCCACATCAAAGTATCTCACTCTACTAGCAATACCAGAGTGAACATTAAGGTTTCTATCCATCTAAGAAGCAAGAGGGCAGTCTGTCTCTCCCCTTTTTGTATCCCAATCTTTACAAGTGATTTTCCTATAGACTTCTTCATTTACTTTGTGAGGGGAAATGGGTATCCCTAGGGGAAAGAAGAAAAAAAAAAAAAAAAGCTGCTTACTGAACCCTCACTCCCAAACATCAGTGACCATAACTTCTTCCCCTCCTCAATCACTTTCTTACATAATACTGGAAAGAAGATGATGAGTGCATGTTGAGGTAACAGGACTAGGTCTATTATACTAGTATTTCTGTAAAGAGGGATCTGCCCCAATTCCTAGGAGCTCACTGATTGCTCCCTTAGAATATGGTGTACTTATTATCACCTTATTTTCAGTTGTGATGTTGGCCACAATTCTAAGACAAAAAAAACAACAACTCACATTCAATGTATTACAAAATTAAATCAGATACATAATACAATTGAACATTTACCTACTGACTTCAATGTTTAAAAGTTTGCTCTTTACTATAGAGATTGATAGCAAGTTGATTAAAGAGGCCATATCTTGTTCCTAAAATAATTTCAAATGGTCTCAAATAAGGTTAGATAGATGACTGCAATTAAACAAGCAGAGCTCCTTAGATGGAAATATACTTTAAAAAATATGTGAATATAACCTGATTATTTTCTCTTTGCACCTTCAATTCTGCTTCCAATTCAGTATTAACTTGGGTCTGTTGCTGGAGCAATTGCTGCATACGTTGAAAAGAAATGATGATATCCTTTAAAAAATTTATAAATATATCAATTTTTTAAATTTTTAGATAAGGATGTTTATCTTTTAAAAATATTTTCTAGTTTCTTAATTTATCTTTGTAGTTTAATTTTAACACCATAATAAAGAATATACTGAAAAAACCTAATGACACATTTTACTAATTTAATATCTGAATGAATTTATATTACATGATTTCTTACTAAGTACCATTTGTAAGAGTTCCTCAAAATAATTAAAGTTCTTTGAAATGGACCATGGATTCTAAGACACTATTGCAAAATGTTAAGAATTCAAGACTAACATTTATTGGCTTGCCCCTAAACTAGTAAATTTATCCCTTCTAAAATGTCATATTATCAATGGCCTAGGATGCCAAGGAATGCTTTCAGAATCAAATGGAGGAAAAGCAAAAGATAGAAAAACAAAAAACGGGAAGTTTATTTCCTTCATATGCCATTTTTTTAAAAAAATAGAAGAATATGATGAATATAGATTCAAATGAGTATACTGTCCCATAAACATGTTTTAAGCATACATGCATTTTAATAATTATCTACCATTGTACCATGGTCTAAAATATCAAGGAAAAACTGATTTATTTTTATTCTTTATTTTATTTATTTTAAAAATATTTAAATGTAATATTTTCTCCAATTTTACTGAGATATAATTGACATAAACATTGTGTAAGCTTAAGGTGTTCAAGGTAATGATAGGATACAAGTATATATTGTGAAATTATTACCACAATAAGGTTAACATCTCTTTCAGCTTACATAATTACCATTTTGTGTGTGTGTAAGTGGTGAGAACATGTATGATTTACTTTCGTAGCAAGTTTCAAGTATATATACAGTATGGTAACTAAAGTCATGCTGTACATTAAATCCCCAGAAGTTGCTAATCTTATAACTAGAAATTTGTAACCTTTGACAAACTACTCCCCATATCTCCTTATTTATTTATTTATTTATTATTTGCTTGCTTACTTATTTTAATCCTCACCCGAGGATAACTTTTCCCATTGACTTTTAGAGAGAGTAGGAGGGAAGGAGGTGGGAAAATAGGGAGGAAGAGATAGAGGGAAACATCTATTGCGACCAAGGCCAAGGCAGGAATGAACCTGCAACCAAGATACATCTTTTGGTCCTCGGGCAACAGAGCCTCTAACCACTGCAGATAACCAGCCAGGACCCATTTATTATTTAACTAGTGGCCTGGTGCACGAAATTTGTGCAGGGGCAAGGGGGGTAGGTGTCCCTCAGCCCAGCCAGCATCCTCTCCAATCTGCAACCTCTGAGGGGATGTCCGACTGCCGGTTATCCCCTGTAGTCAGGCATCCCTCCCACAATCTGGGATCACTGGCTCCTAACTGCTCACTTGCCTGCCTGCCTGACTGCCCCTAACCACTTCTGCCTGCCAGCCTGATTGCCCCCTAACCGCTTCCCTATTGGCCCTATCACCCCCAACTGCCCTCCCCTGCCGCAACCCGCCAACTCCAGCTCCTCCACCGGGACCGGCCTCCTCTGCGCTGTGTGGAGCCACGGGATCCCAGGCTTACCGTGCGGAGTGGTCACTAGGCCCACCTCCACTGTGCATGTGGCCATCTTGTGGCGGCCACCTTGCGGCGACCATCTTGAGACGACGTGGTGCACAAGGGCCCCCTAAGGTGTTTTTTTTTGTTGTTGTTTTTTTTTACTATAGATGGGAGTATGTGAGAGACCTGGCTCAAAACGTACATATGTTCCCATTCAATACTCACTGAGGGCTCACTATGTGCTAGGAACTGGCATAGGCATGATTCTATCTGTTATTTATTTCCCACAATGTATCTGATTTTTAAAATATTTATTAACTCCCAAAATATCTTATGATTGCTTACCTGTTTTTCTTCTTGAATCTGAGTAATCTCTTCTGTAATCTTCTTATTTAATTCCAATTCCTTAAAAAATTTGAACAATTTTAGATTATGATAGAGAATTCAGTAAATTCTACATTCAATTCAGTGCTCAACAAATTTGGGTGGGTCATAAGTGCCAACATCTGTCTGCTGTTGAGGCAGTGACTGACCCTACTGAAGTAAAGATGGTATTATATAACCAATATAGGCTGGCACAGACTTATACATGTACATGTTCACTAATAGAATTTCTCGTCTCTAAAAGCTTTTCAGGAGACACCACTATACCCTAAGATAATCTGACACCATGTTAAAGTGCAAAGAAAATTACTATGACCAAATTTTATTGTCTTAAAGTCTTGCTGATAATGTCAAGAATCTAATAATTAAAAAAAAGACTCACAGCCGAGACCTGTTTGGCTCAATGGATAGAGCGTCGGCTTGGGGACTGAAGGGTCCCGAATTTGATACCAGTCAAGGGCATGTACCTTGGTTGAGGGCATATCCCCAGTAGGGGGTGTGCAAGAGGCAGCTAATCGATGACTCTCTCTCATCGATGTTTCTGACTCTGTATCTCTCTCCCTTTCTCTCTGTATAAAATCAATAAAATATATTTTAAAAAAACAACAAAAAACTCAAGAGTACTGTTTTCTCTATGTATATTAACTTTACAAAGAAGAAACATTTTTATATTATAATCATGAAATTCTCATAAATTTTATAAGAATATAAAATTTATAAACATAAATATATTAATTAAATACAATGTTGAGTCTTTCTTGAAGTTCCTGAATTTTTTGTTCTTTAATTGTTAAATTGATGTTTTCTTCTCCCATCTTATGTTGCCATGTGACTTTGGACTTGATCCAGTCTGAGGTTACTTTTTTTAGTTCCTTAAGAAAAGAAACATGAAACAAAAAATACAGTATGCATATTTCATCAAAGCAAGGTACTTTTCTGACAGTTTTAAAGCCAATTTTAAACCTATCAGTATAATTTACTATATTTCATATATCAAGATAATACTACTCCCAAGCCCATCAAGGTATATTTCCTCTAGTTCTATTGCAAGGTAATTAGCCAAGGTGAGAACATTATTAGTGATTATAGAATATGCAAACACAATGACATAAGGTAGAATGCATGATCTTTGTTCTTAAAAGGAGCATGCTACTAAATGCACTAACCAACCAGAAGTAGGATATTTTCTTTTGTTACTTATCTAACAAAAATCTTCTGATATAAAGAGATAACTAAATTCCCAAGTTCATTAGCATCTAATAAGAAAAATTTGTGTAAGAAATAATTACAATATAATGTGATGAGTGCTATATTATGGAATGCATAGAAGCATGAAGAACACAGTTGGCTAAGGGCATCAAGAAAGCATTACATAGAAAAGTAGTATATGAATTGAGTCTTTAAAAGATAAATTTGTAAAGACAAAAAAGGATTAGATATTCCAAGCAAAAATATTCTACATGCAAAAATGTACAGAAACATGGAAGATCATGATATTTTTCAGGAAAACCAAATTAATATGATATAGCTAGAACTCATATGTTATAGGTAAAGGGGAGGAGTAGAATATTTGTAACAGTGGCTAGAAATTTGGAAGAACCCAAATACTGAAAGGGATTTGCAGGCCAAACTAGAGTTTTAATTTTATCCTGCAGGAAATGAAAGAATTAACCATTGAAGGATTTTTAATAGGACAACATAAAGAGATTTACATTTTAGAAAAATAATTCTGGCCTCATAATACAGGATAGAATTTGAGAGGTGATAAAAGAAGCCTTAATTTGTGAAATTTTATGTCCACTGAGATTAACAGATACCATCCAAATACATAAAATCCTAAAATAAAAACTTCTCTTATTATACTTGTGTACTTACCCTACTGCTATCCTCTGTATGTTGCCTATGTTAAATACTCAAAGATCTGATTTTCACATTCTTTTAAGTCTTTTTATTTTTTAGTTAATCCTCACTCAAGGATATTTTTCCATTGATGTTTTAGAGAGAGTGTAAGGGAGAGACAGAGAGAAACATTGATTGGTTGCCTTCTGCACGAACCCCAACCAGGGCCGGAGAACCTGCAACCAAAGTACATACTCTTGACCAGAATCAAACTGGGGACTCTTCAGTCTACCAGCTGACGCCATAGGCATTGAGCCAAATCAGTTAGGGTTGATTTTCACATTCTTGACTACACAGGATCTGACTCCCTTTAGATTTCAAGAGCTCTACAATGTAAGAGGCCACCAGAGAAGCAGGAAATGTCAGCTTTCTAAGCATGAGACCAGACTGCTAATCAGATGCATTTGTCTTTAACACTGGATCAGGAACTAGTATTACAAAGAACAAGAAGTGTTGCAATTCCATTTGCTGGTGGACAGCAAGTAGGTGCTAGGAACTTCAAGCTTCCATGGGAAAAGTGATACCTTTGCAGCAGTAGCAGTTTTTCCACTATGGTCGACAGTGATGTATAAGTTGCAGTGCACAGCACTCAGTAGTAGAAGTTGGTTTTATGCTGTGCTCTTGAATACTGCATAGCTTCCCTTGTTTTTGAGTCTAAGAACATCCAATTCCTTTCCTGACAAAATCATCTTACAATTGAGAAAATTGACTAATATACTTCAATTTTTAAAAGGCTACATTTTTCAACAACTAAATACACGGAGCTGTTTTACAGCCAAATTTTACAGAAGATTCTCTAAAATGCATCCATTCCTATTACAATAATTGTTATGAAACAACAGGGATGTGGGAAGGGGGGGTGGGGTAAAAACCTAGTATATGACTGTCAAAAGTAAAAACTAACTGCTTATGTCTTTTTCTCTTATATATTAATTACTTAATCTTAAGAGCATAATAAATTAAGAGACCTCCATGAAATGATCTCCACTGAAAATATGCTTGTGATTTTATAGTCTTTATAGCTTTTAAATATCCTGAACTTTTAGTATTGTCTGTTTTCTAACCATTTTATTTAAAACTGTTAGTGTAGCAAATAAACAGCACATGCTTTGATCTCATTAAATTACAACTTATAGTTCCTAGAGTCATAAATATTGTGCCCTTTTCTCCTTTTCCCCTCCTTTTCTGGTATGGGGTAGTCTGTTAAATATCACTATCTCCTTGAGTGCTCTGACGTTTATTCAGACAAACAGCAGAGGTTATGAATGCTCACAGATAGTATCAGGAATTCTTCATGATGGCAATAACTGAACCCAGCATTCAGAGCTGGAAAACCTACTTTAATCTAACAACTAAGTTTTGTCTGTTTAACTTTGCTCCACAAAGAGAGAATCCCATCTTATCACAAACTAATAATTTAAATGCTCTGGACAAAATCACATAACAGTACAAAATAAAAATAAAATTATATCTGGGGCAATTAATGGTTAAAAGGTTTAAATAAGTAATATAACCAATGTTACTAAACTTAATTAGCTTCTGAAAAGGAAAATAAAAAGACAAGAATGTTTCTTAAAGTTAAAAATCAAGATTACCTTTAAAAATACAAAAATTTTATAACTAAATTATTTGAAATATTAAAAATTATCTGTTAAATATGCATATATTTAAATTATCATCCTTTCAACTACTTGGATTTGGAACTCTCAAAGTTAATACAATTCTCTCACTTTTTTGGCAGCATGGTCACTGACTGCAATGCTGTCTAGAGCGGCAAAGGCCATCAGGGCATGATAAATAGTACAATCTGGTAGCCCTGGCCCAGGCTCCTCTGGGAAAAAAGGACAGGCATGCTCATGAGACACAGTTTCAGGTGTGCCTAAAAAGAGACAATCTTCATTTTTTTACATAAATCCACTAAGGCATCTATCTCTCCTTAGATTTACATGAGCCTCCTCTCCATCTACATGACAGTCTTAAACTATATATTTGAAATAATATAATAATCTATTATGTTATAAAGAAAACTTGTCTCTAGTAAAAAGTACATAATTTAGTATGGAAATTTATGAGGCATAATTTTTTCATAATGCAAAAGCTAAAGTGAATATTTTAATATAGTCATCAAAATTATTATTTAATAGCTTAAGTTATTGATCAAAAATATCAAATAGAAAATAAATGAACACTGAAAATAAAGAGAGAGCACTGAAAATATGCTTATTCACAACTACTCAGTATTTAGCATTTGAAGTTTATACTGACAAAAATTGTGGTTCTGTCTTCTGATTTGAGACTACAGATAAATTTTTCAAACTGCAGCTTTTCCTCTTAATATTTAAAAGAGCCATTTTTAATATTCTAAGATATGACAGAAAAGAAAGTGCTCAGATGCCAAACACAAGATTAAGCACTTCTGACTGATCAGCTACAAACAGAGATTCCTAGGACCCACTCCTTGGGTTTGATTAATTGATTAGAGTTACTCACAGACTCAGGAAAACACTTAGGTTTAACCAGCTTATCAAAGGATATGGTAAGGATACAGACGAAGAGCCAGATGAAGGATATGCAGGGCCATATCCACGAGGGTCCTGAGCACACAGCTTCTGTTTCTATCAAGTGTGGGTGTGTTACCCTCCCAGTACATGGATGTGTTCAACCTGCCAGCTCTCCAAAACCCATATATTGGATTTTTATGAGGGCATAGGCATGCTCAATTATTAACTTTTTTTTCTAGCCCCTCTCTCCTCTCTGGAGAAGTGGATGATATGGAGGAACAGGACTGAAATTTTTAAGTTTCTAATCATGGCTTGGTCTTTCTAGAGATCAGCACCATCCAGAAGCTCACCCTGAGTCATTGGAACAAAAGGTGCTCCTAGTGCTCTTATCACTTAGAATATTACAAGGGTGTTAAGAGTTCTGTGCCAGGAACTGTGGGCAGAGACCAATATATATATTTTCTATTACCTCACACTTTTTTTATATACCAACAGTGAACAAGTTGAATTTGAAAATAGAAACACATTACCATTAACATTGGCACCCTACAAAATTAAATACATAGGTATCAATGTAACAAAATACAAAATATGTATGAGAAAAACTACAAAACTCTGATGAAAGATATCAAAGAAGAACTATTTATGGATAAGAAGACCCAATATTTTCAAGATGTCAATTCTTCCAAACTTCATCTATTGATTCTTTACAATCCCAATCAAAACCCCAGCAAATTATTTTGTGGATATCAGAAACTAATTCTAAAGTTTATATGAAGAGGCAAACCTAGGACAGTTCACTCAACAGTGTAAGAGGACTGATACTACCCAACTTCAAGACTTAAAAAGACAATTAAATTGGTGGAACAGAAATGAGAACCCAGAATAGACCCACATAAATGCCGTCAACTAGTATTTAATAAAGGAGCAAAGACAATCCAATGGAGCAAAAATAATCTTTTCAACAAAGGGTGATGAAACAATGGGACATTCATATGCAAAAAAGGAATCTAGACAACTGTATACCCTTCACAAAAACTCAAATGGGTCATAGATCTAGATGTAAAATACAAAGCTATAAAACTCCTAGAACATAGAAGAAAATCTAGAGGACCTTGTATGTGACTGACTTTTTAGGTACAATGTCAAAGGCACAATCCACAAAAGAAATAACTGATAAAATAGACTTTATTAAAATTAAAAGCTTCTTCTTTGCAAAAGACAATGTCAAGAGGAGAAAACAAGCCACAGAATGGGAAAAATATTTATAAAAGGCACATTTGTTAAAGGACTATTACCCAACTACAGATAAAATTCTTAAAATTCAACAATAAGAAAATGAACAACCTAATTAAAAACAGGTAAAATATCTGAACACTAAAAAAGATGTACAGATGTCAAGTAAGGGGATATTGATGCTCAGTAAGCAATCAATAAATATGCAATGCATTCTTTCCCTTGTGATGCTCCAGCCACACCACATATTTCCTAGTTCTTCCCATGAACTAAACTCTTTCCTGCCTCAAGGTTTTTGCATATTCTGCTTCTCTTGCCTGAAACTTTATTCCTTTCCCTTCCCCACCCCTTTACGTCCAATATAATAATGTCACCTATTACAATATTATTATATCATTTACTTTTTCTTCATATCACTTATAACAGTTTGAAATTATTTAATCTAGGTGATTGTTTTATGTCTAGCTCCTCCACTGAATAATAAACTTCAAAAAAGCAGGAATGTGTTTTATTTTTCTCATACCACAGTGCCACATAATATCTGGCATAATAAATCACTCAAGTATTGATTGAATAAATGAATTTATCTAGTAAGATTGATATATATTGAGTGCTTATAGGTTATTCATATTACCAGAAAAATGAATGCCACTGATAACAAGTCAAACAATATTTCAGATAGGTTAAAGCAAATTTACTCATTACATTTATTGGAATTATAACTAAAAATTTATGAACCTATATTCAAAACATTTTATTTATAAAAAAAAATTTCCAAACTTTTTCTAGTAATATTTTATAAAACTATTTTAGACTACAATTTTATTTAATATTATAACACTATATCAACCATACCTTTTTTAAACTGCATAACTCAGATTCTTGTTTTTTATTTAAAGCTGAAAGTCTTTTGTTTACCTGTATTGCTTCTTGTACTGCAACATGAAAGACATTTAGGAAAACATTATATTCAATTTACATTTTAAAGAATATATCATTAACATGGACAAGGAAAATAGCTTCAATGCAATGTGTATGATTATTACTGAATTTAAATAAAATTTACTATTACTAGTCTTAATTAACTTCAATTTATTCATTATAAATAAGTCCATTTAAACATTTCCTATTAAATATGTTTAAATAAGACAGCACCTACCATTTTGTTCTAACTTTTCATGACTCTCTTTTACCAATCCAAACTGCCCTGTTATTGTGGCATAGTATTTCTCAATTTCATTCAGTTGCTTCTGATGATCTTCTTTAGCCAGAAGCTGTAACTGGAGTTTTTGTTCCTATTTTGAAGAGTTGTTTTAAATGTTATACATGCATAACACACACATACAAATATGCAGACACATATATTAAACATATAAAAAGTTATAGTTTTTAATAACTATCATTAACATAAATGTGTCATGAAAAAGTACTGAGTATACCATAGGGAGGAAATATTAGCAGCTATTTCTAAATCTATATTAAATTAAAGTTATGTTTTCTCCCTGTAACAAAGCAGTGACTTATGGTTATATTTCCCTTGTTTACAGTTTTCTTTTTCAAAAATCAACTGGTTGCCCTAGCTGGTTTGGCTCAGTGGATAAGAGTATCAACCTGCAAACTGAAGGGTCCCAGGCTCGGGCACATGCCCAGGTTGTGGGCTTGATGCCCACTAGGGGTTTACAGGAGGCAGCCAATCAATGATTTTCTCTCATAACTGATGTTTCTATCTCTCTCTCTCCCTTCCTCTTGATATCAATAAAAAATATTTTTTAAAAATGAACTGGTTTTAAATAAAACTTTTCAATAAATATTTCTAAATTCTTTGGGAAATAACAACAAAAAATAGATTGGTAACACCTGCTTGAGAAACCTAAGAACACTTTAAAAAATACAAATAAATTGGTGTTATTATTCAAACTTTAGTATCACATACTATACCATAATAAAGATTATTTTATTGAGATGACTAGAAAGTAGCTAAGTACATATGGTTTTTGTTCTTTTTACTTTTGTGAATTTGTTCAAGCTTTTTATTCTTTTACATGATTTTACTACTAAATGCAAAGAATCGATCCTTAAGAAAATGCCAGCATTCATTGCTTTCCAAGTACATGTATACCTCATTTTAAAGAAACTTAATCTATGAAAACCAAGATTAAAAGCTAGAACATGCATAATTAACAAGTAGGGGTGTGTGTGTGTGTGTGTGTGTGTGTGTGTGTGTGTGTGTAGATTAACTAAAAACCCCAAAGCATTTAAAATAGGCTTTAAAAATAATATTTATATGCAACTTTTTTATTAAGGTGTCCTTATCCCCCCATTGCCTCCCTACCACCCCTCCTCTGCTCTGCCCTCACCGCAAGTGTCTGTGTCCATTGGTTATGCTTATATTCATGCATACCAGTCCTTTGATCTCTCCCTCTCCCCCCAATCCTTCCCTGACTTCCTTGAGGTTTGACCTTCTGATTGATGCTTCTCTGTGGATTTATGTTCATCAGCTTATGTTGTTCATTATATTCCACAAATGAGATCGTGTGATATTTATCTTTCTCTGACTTATTTCACTTAGCATAATGCTCTCCATGTCCATCCATGCTGTTGCAAATGGTAAGAATTCCTTTTTACAGCAGCGTATTATTCCCTTGTGTAGATGTACCACTGATTTTAGTCTACTCATCTGCTGATGGGCACTTAGGCTATTTCCAAATCTTAACTATTGTAAATTGAACTGCTATGAACATAGGTGTGCACATGTCTTTTCTGACTGGTGTTCCTAGTTTCTTGGGATATATTCTGAGATCACTGGGTCAAATAGGAGTTCCATACTGGATTTCACAGTGGCTGCACCAGTCTGCATTCCGACCAGCAGTGCACAAGGGTTCCTTTTTCTCCACATCCTCGCCAGCACTTGTCATTTGTTGATTTGTTGATGATAACCATTCTGACAGGTGTGAGATGGCACCTCATTGTTGTTTTGTTTTGAATCTCTCGGATGATTGGCAACTTTGAGCATGTTTTCATATGTCTCTTGGCCTTCTGAGACATATGAAAACATGGTCCTCTTTTAAAAAGTACCCATTTAGGGCAGTTGCCCATTTTTTATTGGATTGTTTATTTTCCTTTTATTAAGTTCTATGAGTTCCCTATAAATGTTGGAGATTAAACCCTTATCAGAGATAACATTAGCAAATATGTTCTCCCATGCGGTGGGCTTTGTTGTTTTGCTAATGGTTTCTTTTGCTGTGCAGAAGCTTTTTATTTTGATGTAGTCCCATTTGTTTATTTTCTCCTTAGTTTCCATTGCCCTAGGAGCTGTATTGGTGAAGATATTGCTATGACATAAGTTTGAGATTTTGCTACCTATGGATTTCTCTAATATTTTTATGATTTCCTGTCTTATGTTTATGTCCTTTATCCATTTTGAGTTTATTTTTATGTTTGGTATAAGTTGGTGTTCTAGTTTCATCTTTTTGGCATGTATCTGTCCAATTTTCCCAACCCCATTTATTGAAGAGATTGTCTTGACTTCTACATGCAACTTTTTAGAACTACATTTACTAATAAATGGTATGGCAGCTCATTTTTCCCTTTTCTCATTTCCTTATGACTGATTTGAAAACCTTTTAAAATAAAATTAATTTTCCTTGAGACACCTACCACATAAATTGTAGAGAAAAAGATAAAAAATAAAAACTTCATATATTCTTAATTTCTAATTTTGCAACTTACTTTTCCACTGAGCCAAACCGGCCTTCTCATTTTTTTTAATTAAGGTATTATATGTGCAACTTACTTTTCAATTTCTTCAATATAAACCCCAAATAAAGCAATGGGGTTATAAAACTCACTTTTTAAAAATTTACGGCATCTGTAAGATACTTTCTTTTTTGTTTTGTTTTTTTGCCTCTTCTAAATTTTATATGTGACATTTTAACTCAAAGTTGTTATAAAATATACAGATATCACTCATCAAATATTTATAAACAAAGGAAAACATATGTAGTATCTACATTTATCAAAAAATCTTTTATCCAAGCATTTTAGGCTGTAAAAGTCGAGTATCTCTGAGTCCAAGAATCACTCCATCAATTCAAGGAAATGAAAAATTATATGAAGAAATTTATATCCCAAAGATGCTCAATGTCATGGCTTCAAGTAGACATTTGTTCTCCATAATATACAATGCAGCATATAACAAAGGAAAACAGCACTCAGGAATATAGCCATGAGGTAGCCTCTCATGGTTGGCTCTCCTGCACTTTCAAGGAATCAGTTTCCCAAAGGTTCTCTGTTCCTTACGGTGAAGAATGTGGGAAGAGTGCTGGAGCTTCAGGAGGCTGTCTGCCCAATCGCTGTACCACTAGAAATTATCCAAGACAAAGGTTGTGCTGCTCCTTCACTTGTAAATACTGTCCCCAAAATACTTGACAGGATGATGAAATTGTCAAAAACAAAACAAAAAAAATCCAATAGCACACTCAGCAGCACCTATTACATTATTGTTGCTCATGGCTGGTTATCCACAGGATCCAGCTCTGTCCTCTTGAAAAAAAAATAACATGTCCAGATCAATTAACCAAAGCACGCTGGTAATGAAAGAACCATCTGTTTTATTTTTCAGCTTCTCTCCACACATACACACAGCAGAGGTAAGAGGAGTTATTGCTTTAGGGGTCCCAGATTGGAGAGGGTGCAGGCTGGGCTGAGGGACACCCCCCGACCCCATGCACAAATTTCATGCACTGGGCCTCTAGTATAAAAATAATGTAAAAAGAAGAGTGTAAGAATCTTCAGAAAAAAACTTTAAGATCAATTATCTCAAAACATACAATATTCTGCCACAATGTGCATAAAATATTAAATATACATCTCTCTATATAAAGTATTTTTAATGCAAAGTGATTGAAGCCTTGGAACTGTCAGAAAAAATATAATATAACTCAAATATCATTTTAGTAGATTCTTTAGAGGCTGTAATTCATAGTAACAAAATGCTGAGAAGTGGCCAAAGCCAACCATAAGTATACTGAATGTTTCCATATTTTTTTAAGATTATGAATATCTGTTTGATGAAATTTTAAAGTGGAATAAATAAAACACATTTTATGTTGCTTTTACTCTTTAACTTGTAGCATTATCTCCCAGGTCAGAGGGCACATTATTCAATTTCACTATATTTTGTGTAAAACCACTGTAGCGTTGAAGATGACTTTCAGTACAAATGTCATAGTACTTAAGGCTAAACTGGAATCTAGTTTTTCAGCTTTTTAATTAAAATAATAGTTTAAAACAGTCTGACAACATTATCTTTATTCTTTCCAGTTGAACAGTGACACAATTTTCATGTTTTTTATTTAATAAAGCTTAGCAATCTTTCTACAGCTCTTTTATTTTCTAAGACACCAAAACAATTTCAAGAAGAAAATACTTGTTTTGTATTTAATGTCCAAAAGATAATCTCTCATTTCTTACTTCTCATTTATTTATAAATATAAACCTTATTCAAAAATTAATTTTCCTTGCCCTATGATCTGCTCCAAAGAAGGAAGACTGAAATAGGGTAAACCCACCCAAGAAGCCTTCTGAAGACTTAAGTTGATATGGGAGAATTTCGCTTATTCAAAAATATAAAAGTAAATCATTTGAATCAAACAGGGATAAAGAGAGAATATAAAAGTAAAGTTTTCATAAAATGTTATGCTGTGAAAATGCAAATATTAACTTTTATAATGCTACAGAAGAAGAACATACAAATAAACACTTGTTGCATGATAGAGGATGGATACCATACTCCAAGTGCTATATTCAAATGCTACATCAACTTATTTTAATTTTTCAGGCTATAATTAATAACTTTACATTTGTATAAACACCTAGAAAAGATATGTCTAAAAAGTTTTGCTGTTCTTATTTCTTTGTTTTATTTTAGTATAAAACCTCTACCCATACCTCAGAAGCTGTGTTAAATTTATTTTACCATATGTAAAAACTATGTAATCTGGAAATAAATTTGTGAAATAGATTGTTATTTTTGAAATTGTAATTTAGTCATTTAAAGAAGATATTAATATCCAATTTTTAGAGTCACATTTATATTGATAAAAATACAATGCACATTATGTATCTGTCTGGGGAAGGGTGTATATTTTGTAATTTCCTTACCATTTCACTCACTTTCTTCTGTAAAGAATATTTAGAAACCTTGAAAACAAGTGGAAAATCTCATTAATTTTTTAAAAATTAACTAGTTACAAATTCCTTCTGATAATAAAATTGTATGCTATGAAATGTGCGATTTACCTTCCATGTCCTATTTATTTCCAGCGACATTTTTTTTCAAAATGTTATTTACCATAACTTTCTTACTTATAGCAAAGGCAATACATTCATTTATTTATTCAGCATATATTATGGAGCACCTACTATATGTCAGGCACTCTTCTTGGATACAGCAGTGAACAAAACAAGCTTCCTTTACTTAATAAGCTTTATGTCCAGTGGAGATAGTCATAGACAGACAAAATTTAAGTAAGAAGTACAGAAGTTAAGAGAGTGACAATTACTATAAAGAATAAAGCAAGAGGAATAGCAAGAGCAGTCTAGGTGAGTTTGTCACTTATTATCTCTTCACCGAAGAAAAATTGATAAAAATCGATTAGGAATAGGAAGAAGATAAACTTGTTTTAAACAAATCATCTTACAACCCAGAAATTTCAATCATTAGTATTATATTTTTATTCTAAAATATACTTTTTATGCATTTATATTTTAAAAGAAAGCCAGGGGGACAGGAATAATAATATATGTACTACTTTGTACCCTATTTTTACTTAATATATAAATATCAAATTAGTCTACAGCATAATTTTTTAATGGCTATATAGTATTCCATGTTTATATCATAGTTTATCATATTACTCTCATTTTTGTTAAGTTTATCCAGTTTTCAGCTTTATGAAACTATCCTGAAATAAACATGCTTATACCAAGAACTGTATAGTTATTCATTTTAGCAGGATAAATTCCAAGGAGCTGAATTCCTAAGTTTTGTTTATTTTTATAGACTTTTAACAGTTTTACATAGTCCTCCAGAGTAGTTGACCAAGTTAAACCTCAATCAGCAATGTATGAGTGCTCATTTTCTTAAATCCTGCTCATATTTATTAATTTTAAGTAAAAAATACAATAATCACTTCATATTTCCTATGAAATAATTTTTTTTAGCACACTGCCTTGAAAAAGCTGATAATTGTAAACAGGAGACTTAATCATCTATTTCTTGTACCACCAACTTTAAAAATATTTTCTGTATATTGGATTCAATTTCATTTTACCACACCTTTTCAACAACTTCATTTTACCACACTTTTTAATCAACAAGGTTAGTAACATTTAAGTTTTGTTCTGTAGCCATAATTCCATGCTTTATTTAAAGGTTAATTATACAAAGGTAAGTCAACAGTGTTAATGTTATGGCTATCAATATAAACATTGTTTAATGCAGAACCCCATAAGGGGTTAATACTATGTTTCTGAAAATGAATGTCGTATTACATTCTACATGAAGGATGATTTTACTAGTGGCAGGACCTAACTACCTTCTCTCTTCTTATATTCATTCTATCATCTGCTCAAAACCATCCCAAATTTTAACATGCATTATGCCTTAATTATACAGTAATCTATTTTCCCTGGAGTTTTTAATCACGTCCTACTTTTTGTGTTGTTGAAGGAAAATACAAGGAGTTTTTACTACATCACTAACATCATCCAATCTGAGGCATGAAATCCATTCCCTTATTTTTACTGAAAATATTCTTCTTGGAACTCATTGACATTTTGTTGTACTTAATTTTTATTCACTTTGTTACATCAAAGCAACAAAGAAATCCAAAATAAAAACTGCCCAACATCTCAAATAAGGAGAATCTAAACAATGTTAAGACAACTAGATAAGAATCTAGAAAAATACAGACTTAGATCCATATCTCATACTCTGCTATAAAAATAAACTTCAAGTCATCAGAGATGAAATGTAAAATTTTAGTACATAGGAAGTAATAAAAGAAAACATGGGTAAATCTCTTTATGACTTGGTAGTAGTAAAAGCCTTTCTAACCATTACAAACTCTAAAAGTCGTTAAAAATAAATAATTAATAGCAAAAATTAAACAAAAATCAAAACACAAATGACAAACTGAAGAAACTATCTGGCCCAACCCAGCATAGCTCAGTGGTTGAGTGTTAGTAGACCTTCTAAATATATATACATACATACATACATTCGTGTGTGTTTGTGTGTGTATTTGAATCATCATTAGTTGTACACTTCTGTATTCTCTGAGACAGTGAACAACTTAAAGGCAAATGTGATGTTTTCTTCATTTTTGTATTTATAGAAAATAACCATATTACTTAGCAAATAATAATGACTCAATTAATGTTATTTAAAATTTTAGGAACCATGGGTGAATCTGTCATAGTATATAGGCCTGACTTATTTTCTTTAGTACTTTAATCTATAAAGTATTAAAAACAATATATATCTAATTATATTACTATAAAAAATAATGAAAGCTATTTTAATATTTCTTTTTAAAATAAAAAAATGAAGCAAAAATCCTTTTAACTTGAAATTTAAGACTCTAAGATAAAAAGTACTAAATTATATGTTATATACCATAGGTGAATTTTTTTATTAGCTTTGCATTGCTAACTTACATGTTTAATGATATTTTACTGATACAATACTAAAATGCCAAATTACTTTTTAAGCAATACTTATTACTTTACCTGTAATGCTTTTAATGTTTCTTTCAATCCTTCTATTTCTTTTTCTTTTATTTCTGTAGCAAGTTGATATTTTCCCTTTAAGTAAAAAACTATATTTCAGTATTTTCTAATGTAAATAATGCTATTAATGGGGAAATATTAAGAGCTCAAGAACCAAAATCTCTAGTGTAAATATAATACTTCACAGGCTTACACTTGTAGCCACACCACAACTTCTAAAGACTTCAACATATTGTAAAATTACAGTAAGTTGTTGATGAAATCATAAATATCATGGAATGGAAAATCTTATAACAACATATTTTATCAGTAGGGCATTCTTGAGAACTTATGAATATTGTATAATTAAGTATTAAATTCATATATAATAGCTAGAATAAATATATTCTAACTAGAGGCCTGGTGCACAGATTTGTGCATGGATGGGGTCTCTCTTGGTGGCCTGCAGGGATCAGGCTGCCTGCAGCTCCTACTTGCTGCTCCTGCTCATCCCAGCCCCACTGTGCAGGCTCGAACCCAATCAGTCCCAATCAGGAAAGGCTCACCTTGCTGCAGCAGTGCTTGCCAGCTAAGAGCCCTGCATCTGCACCCTCCCAAGAGAAGTGGCCTGTGGGATTAGGCTGAAACCAGCTCTCTGACATCCCCCAAGGGATCCCAAATTGTGAGAGGGCACAGGCCAGGCTGAGGGACCCCCACCAGTGCATGATCTGACTGGAGAGGGACCATGTGAGGGCTCCAGGGCATGTCCGGCCCATTTCACTCAGTCCCAATCGGGCTGGACCCCAGCAGCAAGCTAATCTACAGGTTGGAGCATCTGCCTCTTGGTGGTCAATGCACATCATAGTGAGCAGTTCAGCAGCCAGAGTATATCATTAGCATATTATGCTTTGGTTATTCAGTTATTCTGTTCAGTTTATTTGCATATTACCCTTTTATTATTATAGGATTAATAAGATACAGGTACATTTATCTTATAAATTTAAGGATATGGGAGAATTTTTAAAAGAAGGTTTTTAGCTAAAAATAACAAACTATAAATTAATATTATAAGTGATGTGTTCATTGACATACTCAAAATATGTATTAACTATTATTAGATAGCAAAGGAAAATGTTTCATGCCAGATGAATTTCTAGGACTGTTTTGAGTTGTGTCTTCTTTTCCAGTTGGTTGACACCCATATGACAATCATTTTAATGTTTTTAAGTAAGGTAATTATATTAAAAAGCACTAAAAAATATTATACTTAATTGCTGAAGAGTGGAAATAGCATTAATTTGGGGGCTAAAGAGATCTGGTTTCTAGTCCCAATTTTACCACTTCAAAATGGGATCTTGAACTTCAGCAAGTCTTGCTAGGTCTCAATGTTCTCAATTGCAAAATAACAGTGGTCAACATTCCCTTGCGTCCTTTATGTGTCTAAGATTTACAGCAATTAACAATTTATATTAGTGTATTACTAATGCTCCTTTCCATTATGGGGAACAATTGATACTTAAATACATTTAACCATGCTTTAAATTATTAAAAAATTAATACCTTTTCTTCTTCCAAGGCACACATCTTCATTTGCAACTACAAACAATTAGAAAGATTAAAATACAGGTAAGTAAACCGTTAACAGTGATTTACACAGTGAGACTATATATTTTTTTAAAAAATAAATCTTTATCGTTCAGATTATTACAGGTGTTCCTCCCCCACTTAGCTCCTCTCCACCTGATTCCCAACCCCACCCCATGCCCTTTAGATATATTTTTTACATGATTATTGTTAGAACTTGATATAATGTGAATATGCTACTTTTATAATGAATGAAAAAATAAATAATAAAAAATATGAATGGAAGGAAAAAGCCAGTAAACAAAGGAAATGAATTAGAGACAACCATTCTTGAAAGTTTAGTTTGCCCTCCAGAAGTTTTTCCTTAAATATTTCAGTAATTTACTATCTACTCATAAATAATAACATTTTCGAAGGGCACACTATTATGAAATAAATACCATTTGTATTTGCATTGACAATATTTCCTAAAAATTTGAAAAATGCATGCAATAGTCTAATAAACAATGACTTTTTAAAACAGAAAAACTAAAGTAAACTTGCCAAAGAAAACTAGTTAAATATTCCAAGCACTGCAAGGATATTAGGCAAAGTTGAGCTTGTAATGAAGAGCTATAGAATTCAAAATAACAAAGGAGTTGTTATTCAGTTCTTTTAAAATCTTTTTCTTTTCTTCTATTTTTCTATTAGTCTTACATAGTTGCTGATGGTTAATATTTATGGAGGCTTCAGTGGATGATAATCACATCCCCTCATCTTTTACATCTCCCTACTTGCATCTCTGCTTTTCCTCAGTGATACAATTTTAGTTAGGGTGAAGAAGTAATGTTGAAAGGGTTAATATCCTAGGATACTCTAATTAAACAGGGGAAGAGGAGGAGAGAGAAAAAGAACATCCACATCATTAACCTAATTTATTTAGAACAGATGAAAACACATATACAAGAAAATCGTTTTCCCAATTTCTCTCCATAACTAACTCATTCTACCACATTATTCTCTTTATTATGTTATGATTCAAAATAACCTTATTCATTTCCTTATAATGTTTTGTGTGAATCCTCAGTTTGTATAGAAAACAGCTTACAATATTCATAAAGGGGAGAGTTATATTTTATACTACAGTGTGTGTCTATCCTTTTGAAATTACCTGCTTTTTAAAAATTGCCATTGCTTCTTTGTGTTGCTTTGTTAATGTTTCCTTTTGATTCTGAAGAGTTTCCTATTTTAAAAAATGATAAAAAGACATAAATTCTAGCAACTCAGTTAAAACTTTAATTGGTTTCACTATATAAATAAAAGTTAAATATATTTGTTGCATATATAATTTCATGCTCCTGAAATGCAATTTTAAACCAATTTTATGATTTTTTAATTGTCATGAAATCATCATACAATTATTTTGCTTCCAGTTGCTTCTTTATAATAAAATGCACTGCTTTATTAAAATTTAAACTCTAAACATAGCTTGCTGCAAAGCTTTCTTTAAGAAAATACCTTCCATCAAAAGTTATTAACATTCTTTGTACACAAACAGACTATAGTCTTAGAGTTTTCAAATAAACCAATTTTATGATCTAGGCACAAATGCTCATATAACAGCATATGATTCTTTAATTGCTTTGAAATACTACTAAATTTTTATAAAACCAAAACTATCACAGGACATTTAAAAAAATTTTTATTTTATTTTTCAGTTACAGTTTACATTCAATACTATTTTGTGTTACTTTCAGCTGCACAGCTTACTGGTTAGACAATCATATATTTTACAAAGTGTTCCACCTGCTATTTCAAGTACCCATCTGGCACTGTACATAGATATTACAATATTATTGACAATATAAGTATATCGCAATTATATTTCTATTCTCACACAACTTTTATTTCTCCAGAAGTTAGCAATATTTTAAAATATTTTAATTCTCATAGCTAATTTTTAATAATTATCTTTTGTTACGTGAATTCTGAATCTAGTATGTTACCTCCTATTCTTATTTCAATATTGCCAAATAGTGAGAAGGGCTATTATAATTAATATTTCAATATTTAGTGGTTAAAGTTACCTTGATGGAAAGGCACAAGAAGCATTATTAAAATGTTTTTAATATAGATAAGTTGAGAGAGATAATAAAATCTAATATTCTTTAAAAATTTTTGGTTATAGTATGCAACAACAACCTAGTAACACATGTACAGTTCTGAGGTTTCACTTCTTAAAAAATATTTTGACTCCTCTAAAACATACAATATATTTCTCAGATGTGAAATAGTTCACAGTTTTCAGCGTTATACTCAGTATTATTCTTATTTTCTTATCAGAGTCTGAATATAAATTATTCTCAATTTTCTGGAAGCCCAAAAGTTAACAGTTTTAGTGGGAACTTTAATACTCTGAATTTGTTTAGAAAATTTAAAAATTATTTATTTATTTATTTTTGCTCATTTATTTATTTACTTATTTAAATAAATCTTTATTGTTCATATTATTACAAATGTTCCTCTTTTTTAACTTTGCAGTTAAAGATTAGAATGCATTTAAAAACAATTGCTAAGAATGCTAATCTGAGAAAAAAATATACTCACATTTTGCCATTTAAGTTCTTGTGTCTCCACAATAATTTTACCAATCTGCTCTTTATATTGAATTTCTGCTTCCTACATCAAAAAGAAGAAAGATGCTAGGAAAATTAGGACCTTAAATCTCCCAGTTGTAGCTCTTACAAGAAAAAAGCTAGACAAATTGCAAATTTGCTTACTGGTACCTGAGACATAAACTACTAAGTACTGATAAAAAAACCTCAGCTAAAAGAACTTAATATACTGCTAAAGGCAGAATGTGGGCTAGTGTAAGATTGTGAATCCCCTGAGGGGTCCCAAAGGAAGTTTATACCTTCTACCAGGCTTGTTTTTTTGTTGTTGTTTATTTTGTTTTGTTTTATGGTTTTGTTATTTTAGGAAACCCACTCTACTTACAGGGAAGGATGGGGAAAATCCTGAGAAAGCTTTCTCTGGTGGTACTTGGCTTGGTAGAAGAAGAGCAATTATAAATCACCTTCTCTATTTCCCCTCCAGACCAAAAAACCTTATTCTGTTGGGGAAAGAACAAAAACAAAACAAACTCACAAAACAACAGAGCCTTTCCTACAGCTAAGGACACTAGTGGAACTGACCCAGGAGAAGGGCACTAACAGCCACAACTGATCTTCCTCCCTTATCTCCCCTAAGAAACAAAAGTCTAATCTACAGAGCGAAGGGCAATAAAAACTGCAGCAGGAGAGCACCTGCAGAAACCCATTGCAGGTAGGAGCAGAAGGCTAGGAAAATAAAACAGCTCTAGGAGGAGCAGGAATACATGCTAAGTTCAGCATTAAATATGAAGGAGGGATCAAAACTCTTGTGAAGACCCCACAGTGACAATCAGCCTTAATAAGAACATCAGACAATGCCTTGCTCTCCCTCCCACTATTACCATCCCACTAACAACAAGAGGAGCTGCATAGACAGATTCTCTCTCTGGGAAGCAGCACTAAGGAAAGGCCCAAAAAGTCAAAGGAAAAGGCCCAAAGACAGACAGGAAGCAGTTATGTAGAAAATCCCTCTGATTCTGTTTAAAATAATGTAATTCTTCAGAATTAGTCCACACCATAGCACAAGGTATCACTAGAGAAATCTAATTCCTTTGAAAACTTCAACAGGCAGACTTGAAAAGTCTGCCTGGTTAAGTATTGAAGGTGTGCCACACACACATGCAGAGAGGCCTTCTGCAAAGACTGGGAGGTGTGTGCTTTTCCCCTTTGGCTCAATATATTTAAGGAAATCTCTGTCAAACAAAGCTGATAATTAAGCTAAAAAAGCGCAACAATGACTTCAATAGCTATATATTACAAAAACTGCAGCTTTTACAAAATTATTTCAGAAACGTCAAAAACAAAATGAGAAGCAGCAATCTTGGTGAGGGAGAGAAAACTAATTTCTAAGGTTACCACATATTCAAAAGGGTCATGTCTAGTTTTAAACAAAATATTACAAGGCATGGAAAAAAACAACAGGAAAGTGTGATCCCTACATAGGAAAAAATGAATAGGAACTGTCCTTGAGCAATTACAGATGATGGACTTACTAGACAAAGACTTTAAATGAACAATTTTCACTATGCTCAGAGAGCTAAAAGAAACCATATACAAAAATACTGCAGCCATTAAAAAGTTCATAAGGAATGCTAGGAACAAGGTCATGCTCTTAAATTTGACAAGTTACAAAAATACACCAATTCTTAAAAAAACCACAAAACTACCAAACCCCAACCAAGGTGATATAGACAATCTAAATAGCTCTACAACCATTAAGTTAATAGCTCCTAAAAAAAGAAGTTTCCAGGCCAGATGGTTTCACTGCTCTAACAAACATTTCAAGATAAATTCATACTACATTCACACAGACTCTTCCAGAAAAATACAATAGGAACACACTGCAACTCATTTTTTGAGACCTGTTTACTATGACAGCAAAACCAAACAAAGATAATACAAAAAAAAATAAAGACCAACATCTCTGAGAAGTTTTGACAAAAAGAAATCCTCAGTACCATATCAGCAAGTGAAATCCAACAATATATAAAAAATTATACACCATGATCAAGTAGAATGTTTTTTAAATGATTTTTATTAATTTCAGAGAGATGAAGAGAGGGAGAGAGGAATAGACACATCAATGATGAGAATCACTGGTCAGCACTTTTTGATTAATTTAATCTTAGGGTTTAATTTTATGAGGTGAGTATTCTTGTCATTGACATTTTATAAATCAAGAAACTGGGTTAGCAAGAGGATAAGTAACTTGCCTAAAGTCACATACTAGGTAAACCTAGATCAATGGTCGGCAAACTGCGGCTCGCGAGCCACATGCGGCTCTTTGGCCCCTTGAGTTTTTAGCAAAGGCCAACTTAAGAGTATCCTAATTAAGTTAATAACAATGTACCTACCTATATAGTTTAAGTTTAAAAAATTTGGCTCTCAAAAGAAATTTCAACCATTGTACTGTTGATATTTGGCTCTGTTGACTAATGAGTTTGCTGACCACTGACCTAGATGATCTGTCTCCAGAGTCTCTTTAACATGCATTATATTACCTTTAAAAGACCATGAGTTCTGTAGAATATGGATTATGATATATGTATCATATATGTTCATTTCCTTCAAATACTTCAGAATTCAATCTTCATATCCCACAAAAGTTAGAAAACCACCCTGAGTCATATTAACTATATTAAACATGTAAGTATATTCTGATTGTTTGGTAGAATATATCAAAAAAACTAGAAATATTTGTTGAATGGAAAAATAGAACTTTAAGACTGTAAATGTTCTAATATTAATATTTTTCTATTTTAGAAATCTCTGTAATAGATTAAGTCGACTAATTTAAACTACTGAAAACTACTTAAGGAAAGAGGTTTTTTTTTTTTAAATATGAACTTTTAGACTCTCCCCTATATAACAGATTTTTTCATCTAGAATACTTTGCAGCTAATCAAACCAAGAAACTATATGAAAGAGTGATTAGTATTTTATTAGATAACATAAGAAACTGAATTGGGCAATTTTGTAGGAGGTGGATTATGAGTTTGAAAAAGAGAATTTAAGTACCCAGTTATAGTTTTGGCTGCTTGGACATGTGCCTGCTGAACATACTATGTCCCTAAATCTGTTCAGGGTCAAGAATTAAAGAGGCCTGACCAATACATAGCCCATCTTGTAAAACTACAGCCTGAAGCAAGCACTTTTTAAAAAGCATGACACTTTCTAAAGGTTATAAAGAGTAAATAAACCATCAAATTACTCCTCTTTTATTGTTTTTATAAAACACTTAAATCCTTGTAGTCCTAAGGCAGCTAATAAAAAATAAACACTTTTAAGGTTTGATATACTTGGATACTTTATTGAAGTTACAGACAGTATTTTCTCACCAAAGTTAATATTTTTTTATTCATTAACAATTTAATAAGAATTTTTATTAATAACTTTTGAAAGCTGCTTGAAGAATGCATGGAGAATAAAAAGTTCAAAAAAGTAAATAATTTGTAACAGAAAGCATGAAGTAAATTTTAAATCCTAATATAGAAGCATATTATAATGTTACTTTCAGCAATGTGAATAACCCCATTATATCAGCTTTCCATGGAATATAAACACATACATTCTACAAATCATTATAATCACAGAGTTGTATGATTCCACTGATAGCATAACTAATTTTATGGAACACTGAAGTGCTGCTTTACCACATATTATACCATTAATTGCCCAGTTTTCTTTCACAATTTCCTTAGCAAATCATTGCTATTCTAGAATACCCAAATTTCCATTGGCTTTTATATATTGCTAATGTAAAATTCCAAGATTTACTTCTGTTTAGATATTTAATAAATTTAAAGTATCCTTTCTCTGAACTTCCATAATGGTTTCGTCATAATCCATAATACACACTATATGAGAGTATGGTGATTGATTTGTATGATATGTTTTTACTATTAAAATTTAAATTCTCTTAGAGCAAGACTAAGAAGTTTTTCAAAGGTTATAAAAAATGCATATTTTATAGTTTGAAAGTTCTGTGATAGAAGCCTTTCATTCCCATTGTATAATCTAACTTAAAAATACTTAAAAATCTGGTTTATAAACTTTCAATCCAGTACCAATATTTAGGATCTAATAGATTTTACATTACAGTCTTTTAAAAATATATATTTTTTTATTGATTTCAAAGAGGAAGAGAGAGGGAGAGAGTGATAGAAACATCAATGATGAGAATCATTGGCTGCCTCTTGCACGCTCCACACTGGGGATTGAATCCGCAGCCTGGGCATGTGCCCTGACTGGGAATAAAACAGTGACCTCCGGGTTCATAGTTCAATGGTCGATCAACTGAGCCACATCATAAAAAAGTCTTCAATAATTGGAAGAGCTAATAGTACAGGGCCCATATTTTTTCTATAATGGCAACAATTTTCTGAAGCTGAATCAGAGATAGGTTGAACTGAAGACATAGGTTCTCCAGTTCAATACAATTCCTACCCTATTCCCATCATATGCCACTGAATCCAAAGGAAGTTGAATTTGTGACCCTTCTGTTATTGTTCATCCCTACTCATCAGTTATTCTATCTATTAGAGAAGGGAATTTACCAGAAATGGTGTCTAATTTCTAAAAAGCAAACATTATAAATTCAATATAAACTTTTTAGTTGATTCAGATTATTTATCCGTAGGTAATTATACTTTAAAATTCTTTTCCCCAATAAAATATTATAATTACCAAATTAGATCCATAATGGAAAAAATGAGTATAGTCCCCTCACTCTTTTGCTAATTCCAGCATACATAAGTAGTAAAATGTAGTTCAATTGAGTAATAAATCTCTTTCTTTAACTTTATTACCTATTGTGCTTACTTCTTTGAAGAAACTTTACTATCTAACCCTCTACAATATTAATTTTTTGTTGACTGAATTATTCATTCTAGTTAACTTATTAAATATATATATATATATATATATATATATATATATATATATATATATATATATATATGAGAACATTAGACAAGGAGCAGAAAGGTCAGAGTATCAGTCTCTTAAAATTCTCTGGATTTTAGATGGACTAGAAGCTATCTCAGGCCACTTCCACTTCTAAAATTCTACAATTTCATGAAACTGCAAAAAGACTGATTATTTAGAATACATCTCTAAGATCATACAGAAAATGAAAGCAAAAAGAGAAGATTCTGACAATTGCCATTCACTCATTCACTAGGGGCTAAGAAAGTTGTACCAGCAGTATTTTTAGGATTGACTTAGTGTTCAGGAACCACCAAAGAGGAGGGATTTTGAAAAATATTCCAGGATTTTAGTTGGAATTCCAAAGAGCTACACTCTGAGAGGGTGGAAATAAACTAGCCCTTACAAAAAATGGAAACTGAACCTTCAGTGATCTCAATCTCTGATAGGTAAGATGATCTGCCCATCCTTACTTACAGAAGCAAAATAAACCTCTCTAGAGGAAGATAGCATGCAAAGCCTCAAATTTTCTTTGCAATTTTTCATGCACAAAGTCATTTAATCAAAATTCACCCTACATGTCAGAAAATAAGGTCAAATAACAAAAAATCTTGAGAGAAAAAACAGATAATAGAAATGGATCTACAAATCCAGATATCAGAGTTTATAGCCATAGACATTAAGATATGAGTTTGAGATATATAATAAAATGAATTTCAGCAGAGAATTGAAAATTACAAAAGAACCAAAAAGAAAATTTAGAAATACAAGAAATAAAATTGAGAATTCAATAGCTTGACTTTATCAGCTGATTAAATAAATGGAAGAGAATATTAGTGAACTAAAAGGACAGGAAAAAATAACCACACTAAAGCATCAACAGAAAAAGGAAAATATAGTAATGATATAGGAGATGTGAACAAGATTAACAAAGTTGGCCAAATTCATATTCCTAGAACACTCTACCCAAAAAAATAGAAAACACACATTATTTTTAAGTTCACCTATGTTGGAATATTTACCAAAATGGATTATATGCTTGACTAGAAAGCAAAGCTCCACAAATACTAAGTGACTGAAATTATATAGAGTATATTATCTGATACAGTAGAATGATGCTAGAAATCAGTCTTTTAAAGTTAACCAAAATAAAATTCTCAAATATTTGTAAAAACAGTAAGACACTTCTAAATAACTCATGGGTTCAAAAAGAAATTCCAATGAAAATTAGAAAATAATTTGAACTGAATGATAATGAAGATAAAATATGTGAAAATTGTGTGACCCAGCTAAAACCATGCTTTAAATACTTTGTTAGAAAAACAAAGTTAAAATTAATTAACTAAATACCCATCTCCAAAACATCAAAACAAAAAGAACAGAAAATTAAGTAAAAATAAAGAATAAAGCTAAAAGAGATCAATAAAATAAATACACAATAGAATCAGAAAAAACAAATTTAATTTATTGACTATACTAGCACAATTGATAAGCCCTTGGAGAGAATGATCCAAAATTCCTACTCATTCCTAACATCTTGTATATCATCATATCTAGCCACCATCTTTTCATTAAGAAAGGATAATCTCTATTCCAAAGACTATAAAATTATTTCTTATATTTTCTAGTATTCTATATTTTCTTACATTTTCTCTTTACATTTTATATTTGTATGTGAATTATGTATGAATTGTCCAAGTGCCATGTATTGACTTCCTTCTTTTCCCCCATTTATTCTTTTACTGATCTATTTGTTCCTGCAACAATATCACATTTTTAATTATTACAGTACTAGAGGCCCACTGCATGAAATTTGTGCACTCAGGGTGAGGGTGGAGATGGGTGTCCCTCAGCCCAGCCTGTGCCCCTGATTAAATGCCCCACCAGCCAGTGGCCTGGGCCTCCCTCTGTGAAATGATCATGGGGCGGTGGTGGGGGCCCCGACCAATCGCATCATACCCGCTTTGTCTGGCCTGGCGCCAGTGTGTGTCATAGTGTGGTCATCTAGAAGGTCGTTCCACTGTTTGGCCATTCGGTTAATTTGCATATTATGCCTTTGTTATTATAGATTGGAGAAGCCTTTAGTATCTGTTAGAGCAAATAGCAATTCTTTTTTAATTTTTTACCTATACTCACATTTTTTTCTAGCTAATGACATATGACATATAACACTGTATTATATAAGATGTATAACATAATTTGTGTACATATTAATACATTTTCTTAGAGATATAACTTTAGAATCATTCTGCCAAATTCTAAAAAAAAAAAAATCCCACTGGTTTTTTTTTTTTATTGGCATAGCACGAAATTGTTGAGTCCTATCTTGGTCTGTTCAGGCTGCTACAATAAAATGTCATAGACTAGGTGACTTATAAACAACAGAAACTTGTTTCTCATGGTTCTGGAGTCTGGAAGTATGAAATCAGGGTGTCTACAAGATCAGGTTCTGTGTCAGGTGAGAGCAGCTTCCCAGTTCATAACTTCACATAGCAAAAAGGGCTAGAGCTCTGTTGGGCCTCATGACCTAATTACCTCCCAAAACCCCACCTTCTAATTCCATCATACTGGAAACTAGGTTTTAACATATGTATATTGGGGGGACACAAACATTCAGACCATAGCAGATCCTTTGAAGAAACCTCTAGAAATTAAAATGTAATCCTTGAAATTAAAAACTCTCATCAAAGTTAGATAGCAGAAAAAAAAAAAAAAAACACTTGAAAAGACAGTTAGGAAACAACAAAATGAAAAAATACAAAAAAACTATAGAAGAGTTAAGGGTCATAACAGATAGAATGATGTGATCCTATATACTACCTAAGGAGAGTTCTAGAACAAGGTAATAGAACAAAAGAAATAAGGGAAGGCAACACTCGAAAAGATCATAGCTAAAAGTTTTCCTACAACAGGAGTCCCAAGAAACATCAAACAGCTTTGAAAAAAACTGATCTCCTGCTAAAATTTTTATACTAGATGTCTCTTTCCTAAAAATTTCAGTGTTTTCACTTTAAAACTAGGAATATTTTATTTTTTGAACTCAGAATACTTACTATATACATTTGTTTTGTCAATTATGTGTTATCTTGTTTCATCATTTAATTCTTTCATAGGTACTTAACTCATAACTTTAACAAAAAATGTAATCTTCTAACAAATAGTTTTTGAATCATCTACAGTGTCTAACTATGGTGCTATCTATACATTCCAAAGTATTCAACAAATATTAGCTGATTTATCAAGTATTTAACAATCTGAAAATATACTATATTTTTTGCTTTGGCTTATAAATTCTTATTTCCCATTCCCTGATGTCAACTTTTTTAAAAATTTTTAAAACTAAATTTATCCTTTTCTCTTACTTCATTATTTGGACTATATTTCTTCTTTCTAAATAAGAGCTTATTTTTGTTAGGTGTTTGTTTTTTTTTTTTTTTCTTTAAACCAAAAATTAAACTGGACAAATCCAGTTATCTATTAAAATAGCAATTTAAAAAGGTACTTACCCTTCGCATACGTAATTCTTCTAATGCTTCCAGTAAACTAGTTCTGAAATCTAATAGCTGAATAGAAAACAATGTCTCTGAAGAACTTTGAAGAGCAAAGGTAGATAAGGTAGATGATGATGATGAGTCAATCTTAAAATCGTTCTCCATGTTGACATTTATTTTCTGAAATGTAAAAAAAGAAAACAAAATAAACATTTTTCTAGGTTTTCAAGTAAAAACACAGTTACCATAAAAATATAACAACCGGTATCCCATAATCCTCCAGGGCTAATAGTGAATAAGTTTTGTCATTACTCTTATTCTGATCTTCATACACAAAGCACTTAGCAAAACAATGATAGAATTTCCTTTCTCTGTGGCTGATCTTTTCTGTTACTCTAGTGCCCTTGGAGACTAAATCTCCTGGCCCTCCAATCCTTCTCCTAAAGGCTGGGTTCCTAATGTAGCAGGCAAGGTTTGGCCCTTCACTAATTGTTTTACACCAAGCCGGAGATAAACATTGTGCCTCCTATTAGAGGCAACCAATCAATGTTTCTCTCTCAGAAAGAAACTGGAGCAAAATAAATCATTTTCAGAATCAATATCCCCAGAACTAAAAAAATATGGGTTTGCAAAGAGCTCATTAAGGGCTGACCCAAGACACATCATGGGGAAATAATGTAACACTAGAGGAAATGGAAAGGATTCCATAAGCTTTAAGAAAGGGAAAAAAAATGTGTTTTTTTCCATACAAAGGACTAAGAATTACATTAGAGTTTTCAATATCTACAATAAAAATCAGGGTTTGCTTTAAGAGCCCATATAAAATGAAAACTAGAATAAAGAAGCTAAGCCTTCAAAATTAGGGGAAAAGATTACCCAACGGAATTTGCCAGTCATGCAAAAATGTGAAGGTAAAAGGTATTTTCAGATATGCAGTGTCCAAATCAATTTATCTTCCATGCATCCTTTCTCAGGAAGCTACTTAAAGATTTCTCCAAGAAAGAGGAATGTATGGGATACAGGGCATCCTACACAAGAGAGGAAAAGGATCCTAGAACTGTGAAGAGCGATACAAAGATGACACTTGGAACAGCAAACCTTGAGATCAACCAGTCCAAATGGAAGTGGTTTAGTACACTCTGGTAAAAAGTTCAATAGAATGAGATTAACAGATTACCATTTTTATATTTTCGGGGCTTAGGGCACTCAACACACGCTGATTGGTGGTTTCATGTAAAGCACATGATTAGGGACTTAGGAATCAGGAGCTTAGGGTATTTGGCAGGTGCTGATTGGTGGTTCAATGTACAGTCCATATAAGGTGCCTAGTTAGGTACTCAGGAATGTTTGAACTGCAGGTGGAGTTTACGTCATTCTCCATCCATCAGTTGGGGGAAGGTAGGATCTATCAATAAGAGGTTCATATATCTGGGAAAAGTATGAGGGTGAGTTAGTAATGAATACCTTAAAAGTCATCAATAGGAGAAAATTAACAAATGGAGGGTATTGTATAGGTAAAGAAAAAATAATCATAGCACACTCAAAAGGTTCAGCTGTGAAAAGCATTTATGCAGTCATAAATTACTTATAAAATCAGGATTATGAAATAACTATATGATGAGGATAGTATGTGAAAGGGAAAAAAATAAAGCAAAGGTAAAAGAAAAGTTAAATCTTCACTTGCCATTATGGAAAGTCATTAGATAATGACTAAAATTGGAAAATCAAGATGTAGCAATGATAAGCACATTATTATTTAGAGATATGGAAGCAAAAGTCTAAAGAATCAGCTAAAATAGTTTAAAGTAGTTCCTCTAGACTAGAGAAAAGTAAATTGCAGGGGATATTACTGTTTTTCTGAACAAAATTTGTAAAAAAAAAAAAATGTAATTATTTACATTGTGTATACATAACTTTGATAAAAATACTAAACTAAAAAAATAGGATTAAATTTATATAAGCATCATGGTTAAAAGTATAACAATGTAAATACCATCAGAAAAAAAATATTGAAAGAAAATACACCAAATTGTTAACTGAAGTTGTCTTTCAGTGATCAAAAGTATGTGATGTTTTCCCCTTCATTCTCCTTTTCTATAAAGTACATATATTTTATAATGGAGGAAAGCACTTTACTGCATATGTTTTAAGTTGGTACAGAATTATTTCAGTTGAGTACCCATAGAGAAATATGAAATCAGTTTAGTTGCAAGCAGCATTTATCATGAAAAAGAATAAAACAGATTAGAATATATCAATAATACTCACATGTAGTAAATCTCATAAAATTTGTTTTAATTATATGTAAATGTAAATACATGTATATATACTGGATCACAATGTGAAATGTACTTTTTACTATGGGTCAAAGTGTAAAAAAGTTTTTACAACGCTATTACAAGCATGCTTGATAAAGTCAGAAATGAACCAGTTTTGTGGTAAATGTGGTTTTATGCACTTCTTAAAAAGACATGCATATTTGTAGATCCCTATAACTGAATCCAAAACATGTGGATTCAAATTCTATCTCCTCTTACTGGCTGTGTGACTTCCCTAGAGTTCAGTTTCCTCATCTGCATAACAGAGACAATGACACTTATTTCACTGTGTGAGGATTAAATGAGGTAATGTATTTAAGGCTTGGTTTATCACAAAGGTTTAATAGCCAGTGACTACGCATCAAATGCTTATGGGTTCAATTCTGGTCATAAGTTGTAGGTTTGATTCCAGGCCCCAGTCAGGGTAGGTGCAGGAGGCAACACAATAGATCTGCCTCTCACATCAATGTTTCTTTCTTCACTCTTCTTTTTTCTCTTCTCTCTCTTCTCTTCTCCCTCTCTCTCTGTTTCTCTCTCTCTCTCTCTCTCCTTCCCCCACTTCTGTTCTCAAAATAAATAAATAAATAAAATCCTCCAGTGAGGATTAACAAAATAAGAAAGAAATGAGGATGATTACATTTCATACTTAACCCTTAACAAATCAAAATACTCTCATATTTCAATGCTATTATTATAAGTATCTCCAAAAGTGCATATGCTCCCCATATTTTGAATCACAGCTTGAATAGCAGAATAATGATTCCATATAGGAAAGTAGTCATTACTGGCTGGGTAAGCTCAGTTGTTTAGAGCATCAATCCAATACACTAAGGTTGGGGGTTAGATCCCCAGTCAGGACACACAAAAGTAACCAATGAATGCATAAATAAGTGGAACAACAACTCAATGTTTCTCTCTCCCTCTAAAAAATTAATCAATAAAAAAAATTTAAGTATATAAAAAAGCTTTCTTTATTAAAAAAAAATCCTGACTATCTTTATTTTTAATACTTGGCTTCTAAAGTATTACTAAAAAAATCTTCCTGTAAATAGCTCATTTATTTATAGTAATATACAGTATTAAATTTATTGTGCATAGCCGAAACCCGTTTGGCTCAGTGGTAGTGCATCGGTCTGCGGACTGAAAGGTCCCGGGTTCGATTCCGGTCAAGGGCATGTACATTGGTTGTGGGCATATCCCCGATAGGGGGTGTGCAAGAGGCAGCTGGTCGATGTTTCTCTCTCATCGACGTTTCTAGCTCTCTATCTCTCTCCCTTCTTCTCTGTAAAAAATCAATAAAATATATTTTAAAAAATTTATTGTGTATAATACAATTATAAATATTATAGTTATAATATATTCTAAATGTAATCACTTTATGATATTTCATTATAAAATGTACATTTGAAAAATATATTATAAAACATTTAAAGCATTATATATTATAAAATGATTAAAATATTACCTCAGCATTCACCATATTACTGACTCTGCATTTTACAGTATTGCTATTTTTCTTTTAAAAAGCTTTAGTTTAAGCATGTAATAAAAATCTGTCTTTTACCACAATTAAAAGCCAGAAAGGCTTTTAAATCTTTGAAAGTATTTATTAAAAAATTACATCTTAAATACTCTACCTACAGTGGAAAGTAAGTTAGTCTATAATCCTGATAGGGGTCAGAGTAATAACACAAAATGGACAAATTACACTGTCATTCTACTTAAATTATTTAAGTTATTTAATTTGACCTGTAGACAGTCTCTTGTCTTCTCATCATGCCTGACTATTAAGTGGGAGGTCTTCATTCATGATGATCCTTTAATAGAAGCAAAGCTTTCTCCATTTAACCCATGCTGTTATCAATCATGTACAGGGATAAATGAGCCTGTACAATTTTGCCAGTATCACAAATGACACTGTGACCTGAGGCCAGCATCTTTATTTGCTTCTCCAGTGATTCACTTCAGCAGATATTAACCAATTTTATAATCCATGAAAGGCAAAATTAAAGGACACCATCCATAAAACAGAATAATTCCTATCAGCAACAAAGTGATGTGTGTATTATCTTATAAATTATATGACCATACAGTGTGGTAATGTAATGAAGTAAAGATGGTAATAATCAAATGCCTAGGGCAAACACTAATATGCATTTAATCACACAGCATAAAGCCGCTTGTCACTACAGTTGAATGCATGTGTGCATAAAATACATGAGTCACGTCCTTATTGTTATACTATAACAGCATCAGTTTCACACTATCATTTCACATAATAACGACTGTGAGCTTTGACATTAGCTAAAACATTAAGAGTGTAAACAAAATCAACAATAGCTGTACAAATGCCCAAAAAATTGATTTTTCAGTAACTAAAATATTTTCCCCAAAAATTCTTTGTTAAAAACTGTAACTTCCAAGTTTCTTTATTTTAATAGCCCCTAAGTTGGTATCATCATATTGCCTTTATTCTCAGGAATACTCTTAATACTTAAACTATATGCTATATCAGTCTTATAAGCATATCTCCTTCATAAGTAATTATAAATATAAAATTTAGATGTGAAATACAAGTGACGGTTGTCACAAAAAATGAAAACTATATATATGCATACATACATATTATATATATATAAAAGCTAGTGTGTATATATATATTTGAAGAGACTGTGTAAATATATTTAAAAAGTATTATATGTATACATCTACTGTATGTATATTTCTTTAAAAGACTGAGAAAAAATAACCAAAGCATGACTCATATTCTATCTTGTATAAGCAATAGTTGTGTTAACCATTATATTGTAAGTTCCTAGATTAGTGCCAAATCTCATTCACTTTTAT